CGAGCCGCCGCCCCCCACCCCGACTTGAGAAATGGTATCGCCGCTGGCAGCGCTGCAGCCCCGCCGGAAGCGGGGGCAGTACGTGCAAATACACGCGCTGGTCAGGAACAGCGCCGCTGCCGCCTCAATGAGCTCAAGTGGCGTAGTAGAGCTGCGAGCAAAGGCGGTCCTGGACGCCGCAGTACGCCTGCCACCAAACCCCGTGCAACGGCATTTGCATAGAGCAGTAACAAACAAAAAGCCCGCGCTGTAGTTCAGTAGATTTTTTATTACTTTTACCAACTTTCTGAAACATTACAAAAGATAAATTTCTTCGGCAAGTAAGTAAAACACTTAACAAAGGCTGGATCTTTCACATCAGAGACAAGTCTGGGATTTGTGTTTCCTGTATAAAGTGAATATCGATTCTGCATTTGGAATAATGTTTTAATTTGCTTTGGATTGTGTTGTAAGTAAGAAAACATCATTGTAATTAGAAAAGCAGTCATAAAAACTTCAAACCATACAATATGTAATCACATTTCAAATGATCAATATTAAAATCAAAATTGTAGTTCAGCTGAAGATGCTGAACACTGGAAGACACGTTTGCACAGGAGCGCATCAACAACAACAGAAAAAAATACTACAAGTGATGTGTCTTCTCTTGCCAATACAACATTATTTAGAAAAGTCTTGATTTTCAACCCATTATTCCAAATTAATGTCAACAGGTACTAAATTTGATATGAAAGTATCTTGAGATTAACTTCAATGCCAACTAAAAATTTCCTACAGTTTGATTTCACTAAAAAAGTTACAAAATAAAATTGATTTAAAATTACTAAGCAATTTGCTTTGTATTTATAGTACTACTTTTACATCGACTCAAAGCTGTGTGCCTCTAGTCTTCAATTTGCTGTAAAATAAATTATGTTGGTATAAACAAAATATTTCACGCGTTTGCACTGTACTTGATAGTGAATTTGACCTAGATGAGTAATTAAAACATTACTAATCATATAAAGCAAAAAAAAAAAAAAACCTGACGTCATTGTGATGCTCATCTAACAGACTGCATTTGTGAACTGAAAATTATGAACCAGTTACCTTATGACTTATAGAACATATGTACAAGATAACCCTTTAAACTAGTGCAGGCTCTCTTACATTACACCTAGTCATTAGAGAAACATTTTACAGCATGTTGAACCTGCCTTTGCAAAGGGTACAAATCAGTAAGCTACCGTATAAAGAGAGATGCAGATGAAGCAAATGAAAAGTTAGGGGAGAACTTTGATTAAACACAGAAGAAAATGACCAATACATTTAGTTGGAAAACCCTAATAGGACACTGAATTCTACCCTAACAAGTTTTACGGTGATAAACTTGGCAATTTGGAACATTTCACTAAATAATCATACAAGACAGTATGATACAGCTGCAAATTTAAACTAGGAAGAAAATGTAATTAACTTGGGCATATGTAAACAGGATGAAAGATGTGTCATTGTAATACATATGAAAAATACTAAGAATGAGTTTCGTAGAATATAATTTAAACATGAGACTGCATTTTAAGTGAAATATTCTCAAAGATAATTTAAATGGAGTGGTCAAAATTAAGACCTACACTTTTATGTAAACATTCATCTTTATAAATAAATTAGAAAGGAAATGGAAAAAAAAGAAAGAGACTTCCTGAGGTGGCTCTGCAGCCAGATACACAGTAGCATTAAGCTCCATTCCGGGAAACCAAGGCATCTAAGAAAAGTGCACGGCTGTTTATTTCCCTCTAACTGTTGGAATGGAAATATATTGGCTTAATTTTTATAGGGCTTAACCCTTAGGTTAAAATCAGTGCACAGTAATTATCACTGCTCTTTTGCACCCATTAAGGCAAAATGTATATCTACTTACAGTAAACTATATCCTCAGCTGTTGCTTTACTACTATGCATGATTTTAAAGCAGAAAAGGAGTAAAATGAGCAGCAAATTACTTAACCATAGACTACCACTGGGTTTTTATGCACTTAATACAAGGCCTTATTCTAGTCGTTTGTGGGGGGAGGGGGGTGGGGAGGGAGAGAAAAAGTGCAAGCATAACACGCTACTAACCAAGAACAACGAAACTGTAGGACACTGTAAACTGCTTTGCAAGTCATAGTATTTCTGGCACCAATTAAACTATGTATACAACTAAAGAAATACTGTGATTGTGTGTATGCGTATGGTGGATGGGGTAGAAAAGAGAGAGTATTTTTTTCTTTTTAAAAATTCTACTAGAAAAATACCCGCTTCCTGTAATATTGCCCAAAATTTAATCCGTCCGAAGTGGAAGCCAGATACAAAGTGTGCAGCATCAGGGAACCTTGATTTCTGGCATTACAGAGTTTAAAAACTAGGAGGCTTATAACAACAGCTTTAGTCTTCAGAAACTGTTGTAGGGCTGTGAACATTAAGTATACAAATATTATTGGAAAGACTGGTATAAAAATAATGTAATACGGATAATGCTGTGTGAACTGCCACAAATATTGTTTTCGTCCTCGGATTCAACAAGAGCTACTCAGTAGGCAACAACTCACTGCAAACATGATGCTGCAGATGAGTACTTGATTTTTTTTTTTCCTGATAATGCAGAAACTTTATCTGTTTCACTGTATCTCAGTTCAACTAGAGGGAAAAAATGGGTATTTATGAAAAAGCACATACTCAAGCTAAGGCACAAACTACACTGAGAATAAAGAAACACCTACACAGCTCATTACACAGTATTATTCAGTTTGGTAAGGCAGACCTCACTTGCTTTTCCACTGAGATGAGCCTCTGTTCAAACAGTTTGGATAGCATTATTTGTATTGCTCTAAATCCACTTTCAGCAAATCGCCTTTCTTCTCAGAATTCAGCAAAATAAAAAAAGAAAAACATTCTTCCATTATGTTATGATCAAAGGGAATGGTAACAGTCTATGTAACGTATAAATGTTATTTCTAATACTTCCATTTACATCCACTGATTGTTTTATTTTTGTAATATATAATTATCTTCTCTCCAAATGACACTTATCTGAAGAGCACCAAAATTCCACCTCAGGTGGTATTTTCAGACAAACTCTGCCCTCCTCCAAAATCTGCTGCTTCTGAAGATCTTGAGAATTTTACTGTGTTGCCCATGGTAAAACTCCCCACTCTGCTAAAAGCAAAATTAACCTAACACAGTGTCTTCCATTTTTGAGTGAGCACGGATCATAGTTAAAGCCATTGTAACAGATCCAGAAAGGGCTGGTAGCAGTTCAGAATGTAGAGAGACTATTTCAGGAATTAAAGCTAAAAAACTAAGATGTAAGGCAAAAAGTATCAATAATGGAAACTGCAGTAGGTAAGTGTTCAAGATTTTGATTTTTACATAAAAGTATCATTCTTTCGAATATTAGAATGGTAAACATTAGAACTTGAAGGTGTAATACAATAAATGCACTGACTGCATTTTCACACAATTTAAGTGAGCCCCAAAAAATCCCATTTACTTTAATAAGTCAATATTTATTTTTTCAATTTGTCTTACATGATAAAAGTTTATACTAATTAAAATAAATAGAATGTTTAAAAATAGGTTGGTGTGCTATCATCTATGCCCTTTACAATGGAGAGGATCGGAACTGTAAACACAAATACCACAAAGCAATTTGTAATCCATAAAATAATACTGATCATAAACCTATTACAGAATTACAACCAACTATGGCTAATTTAATCAAATACACAGTAAGTTTAAAAATGAATTAAGCAAGAAAGATATTTTGAGGAGGACATGAAATACTCAAAAAGTTTCAGTCTTACAGCTGAGTAAATCAAACTTTCAAATTCAATGGAAAATGTAAATAAAAAGAGGAAGGAAAGAATTCAAGATTACTAGTGTAGTAAGTATGTATAAATTCCTATATAACAAAATTTTTGTCTGTAAATCCAATTTATATTGTTTAAGTATGGAGTTTCCAGAATGGCAAACACTGACTTGGGGCTTTAGCTACAGTTACTGCACCTACACTGCTACTGGGCAAGAATTTAACAAAAAAAAAAAAAAAAAGCAGGGTGGGGGGGAGGAGCGGTAACAGAACAGGATATTTAAAATCAAGAGTAGATTTTTTTTTTTAAAAAGTATCAGAAACAGGATATTTACATATATTCTACGGATTAATCACCTGACTTAGAGCTCTAGGCCCCTTCTACTTCTATGAGTGACAGAATCCAAAAAATATTAGCATGTAGTGGAGACATAAAACACAGTAGTTCATGTTAACAGCACATTAATACTCGTTCTATGAAATCACAAAAAAACGTGCTTACCCTGCAAAAAACACGCAGTAACCGCCTGCATGGAAAACAAACTTCTGTAGCACACATTATAAACAGAGGTATTGCAAAATTCTATGCAACATGGACCAGTAATCATCAGCAAAAGCTGATTTAACTTTTATGCACATAATGATTATTGAAAAGAATAAGCATTCATTACAATCTTCCTATTTAAAAATGAAAATAAAAATTTCTAATAAAATAAATAGCTGAAGTGTGATTACCACTCATCTTATTTGCAGGAAAATCTCATTAGCCAAGCATATCTACAGTGCCCTAAACAATGGCAGAATTAAATATATGTTACTCCTTAAACTTGGAAATCACACTTCAATGATATGATATCCTACAGCGATATATATATACACGCACACAAATACACAAAATTCCCCTTGGTTCAGTTCTATAAAGATGTTTCAGCATCCACATATTTCAAAACAGGTGCATCTTCCATATTTATTTTCACACTTTCTGGCTTCTCAGGGCTGTTGAAAGGAAAGATGAACATTTAAGGTTTGGTTCACTTTAACGAAGGTTAATTTTCAAACATTTTGTACTTAATGGTCAACATTCAAAGCATTTATGTAAGGATACTGTCATGATTACATATTTCTATTACATTCTACATTGCTACATACTATTCACAGGAACAGTACAAGCTGGAAAAAGAAAGTCAGTGAGATTTCATCTATAAATACAACCTTACATCCCATTCATTCATTGTTTTCCAAATCTACTGCTGTTACTGATTCTATTAATTTGAAATGAGACATCTTTGGGAAAAAAATGGTTAATTGAAAACATTCACAAATACGTAACAAGCAATATTATTAATATTCCCTAATTATTAGGGAAGGGGGCAATTTTGTTCATAATACAAGACTGGGAAAACATTTTGGTCTTTTCAAAATGGGGAACCATGATTGTAACAACAGGACAGGACAGTTGGAAATCTGCATGAGCTGTCATTTAAGTGGAAAGCACTAGAGACAATGAGCAATGAGTTTGGGCCGGAACCCAAAACAACTGGCTTGCTTAGAAACACAGACACTCAAAAATGGCTTATCCAAGGAGAGACAGGAACGTCCCAAGAAAGCTACAGAAAAGTAGACGAGAAACTGGAATGTCAGAAGAGGTAGGATCTCTTGGCAGGCATTTCAGAAGACATATTTGTGGAGTTGTTCTTTAAGGAAAAAAGGTATTAGAAATCCATGTAAAGAGAACTATCCCGGCATTCTGTTAAAGATATATTATAGACTTTCTACAGAGTTCAGGCTCACTTAAAAAAAAGTGAGAAATGGTGGAGGGGGAAAGAAAAAGTTGTCTAGATCGCGTGGGGAAAAACAACAAAGAACAAAATATGAAAGTGGTTAAGACGGTTAAGGAGTAATGCCAAGCCACACAACATGGTGTCTGGAACTCCAGAAGATGTTGCTTGCTTAAAACAATATCCTATTTAAAACCTATGAATCTGAAAATAGCAGTGACCACGGAATGCAGCACCGAACATCTGTCACACTTACAAATGAAGATTGTTACACAGAAAAACCTTACCAGAACTGAGATGAAAAATACTACTAGGAAGTATTACTGGGAAATACTTTTGACTGAGCACTGGTGACACCTTTAGGTCTCACCAGCAGATCACAAAACCATGACGAACTGGTCAGAAGTCTAATGTCTTTATGCTGCATACAATTCTATACTAATGTAACCTACTCCAGAAACATGAAAGTGCAAGATGGAATTGCACAAGCCTCTACATGCCTGAAAATCAAATCTAAAAATTGGAGTTCATCTAGAAGGGAAAGCATAGGTCTGTATCTCTTCAAGCCTTATACACCCAATAACTATCAGATATTGTCCAGAACGCCTCCACAAATTCTGTAACAGGCTTCTCAAACTAGCATGAGAGAGAATAAGCAATTAAAATACACGGACGCACATAAGCCTCTGTTATCAATCTTCCTGAAAGACAAGTTCACATGGTACTCGAGGATAAAGGGAAAGAAAAAAAAAAAAGTTCAAGACAGTACAATCTGAAGTTCACCGTTTCATTAGTGCTTGTACAAATGACTTTTCAGCTCTTCCTATTACAGTACTTGAAGTCCTCTTCACCTCTCCTACTTCACTCGTTTACCTGTCGTCTGGGCAAAATAAAGCACATTTCCATGCCTAGTTTGGAGCTATGCACATGCTGAATAAACAGGTGGTATACAAGTGCTAAGTGGGCAGTCACTACCACTGCTTCTATGAAGCAGGCTAAACAGTACCCAATAGCTTGGACAATTACAGAAATTACAGACAAGCCCCCTCACTCCCACTTCTCTTCCACTGAGCTTTAAATTTACACAAAACTCGACAACTTAAGTCTCTCTGAAAACTGTCCTCTGATAGACTTAACTGAAAGGGACCAACCAAAAAGATGATGATGCAGGTACACACAGCAGGATTGCTAATCCTGCTAAACCTAATTTTCCTAGACAATCGGGCCCATTCTCCTCTCCTTCCCCCCTGAAAACACTACCAATCAGTCATTAGTTGGACTACTGCAACAGTCCGCAGATACCAGTCTCTGCAAAATACAAATCTTCAGGAAGCTGGGGACCTTACATACGAACACTTGGGATTTGTTTTGCTCCCCTTGATAGGGACAGAGAAGAAGATGGGATGGAATAGTAGGATAATTCATTGAACGAAGAATTTCTGAGAAAAAGACTGATGGCTATCACAGATGTTGGCAGGCTGCAGGAAACGTTCATAGCTCCATGGGCTCCTAACTTGTTCAATACTTCATGCAAGTATTTTTCATTTCCCAGGAAGATAATATTTAAGCCGGGTTTAATTTTTAGGGTTTAAAAATAAACTGGGAAAAGAAAAAACAAGGGGCAGATCCTGCTGGACTTACCTTGTATTCCCACTGGCATTTCTAATATTCAGGATCAAACAGTTCCCATGCTTATATACATTTTAGCAAAGCTTTTAGAAACCCTATACCTATCAGAATAGCATACAATTCAGCTAAGCAAATAAAGAATAATTTTAAAATTGTAACATTACATTTAATAAAACGATAAGAATTCTCTGCAGATACTGTTTAAAGCTTCATGATAAAGAGGAAAAAAAAGCTCAGAAGCAAGGTCCTTGAAAGTAAAATATCAATACAGGTTTACAAACCATGTACGCTCATTTTCTGAGATACATTTCAAACAAATAAATAAATAAAAGCACAACTATCATCTGCTAAACACAAAACTGTAGTTAGAAAATGTGTGAGTAATTATAGCTACCTCAGGTTAGCTCTGGTTACTTTGGCATTCTCAGTACTCATGGCAAGAGCCTTCCACTGTGCAGTTTTGGCCATTTCGTCTGATATGTTTACAATTGAGGGATCAATGCTAAAGAACAAACATACTTTCTGGTTAGTACTCAATACCTTGCAATAGCATTATCTCTCTTTTCACTCATTGTTTACATCAGTTGTGCCTTCTTTTAAGATTTACGCAGCCACAAGTTGAATTCTCCTCTCAGAAAGATATTTAAACAAGAATTTGAACGTTTAACTCACTAGCACTGTTCTAATCACATAGCATCTTACAACAGTTTTTCATGCAGTTATCCCTAAGACACTGTGAATTAATGAGATTCGAGTATCTCATTTCCAAATTATCCCGTAACTTGAATGTAGAGGAATTACAAAATTAATCATATTATTCTGCTACGGCTTTCATAAATCAGAATTATTTTAAGCTGCTTCCAGAAAATAATCAAGAGGAAAAGAATGGATGTCAATAAAATTTTGAAACTGGTAACTGAAGATTAAAAAATAATAAAAATCTAGAAATCTCAATTTTTAGACATATTTCAAGTTTTTTTTTTCTATAGAGCCTTGTTAGAGAAATTTCAAGCCCCCCGCCCCCACAGAGCCCAGCAGAAGTAAGTTTATCTTCACAGATGGAAAGCTTTTGGAACCTATTACCCATTTTGCCCTCTCTATCTCTTCATGTAGACCAGTCTCAATGTGCTGAGTGTAGGTAGGCTTTCTGCTCTGCTCCACACTTAAGCTTACCGAACCCCCTTCTCCAGTGCCCAATCTCTGTATAAAAGCTATCAGGCACAATGTGGCCCAATCCTCTACTACTTTGTATTCTGGGGAATCATTTGCGTTATATGTTCGATAAGATCTTGAAACATGGAGCTCCGACAGAATGGGCAAGTACCAGTCTCATCCTCTTTAACCCTCTGATGCATTCTCTTCCATAAGTTACCAGTTAGACCCTGAACCATCACAGTTTGTGCCTGCCGTGTTAAGGCTGAAATATCAAATGGCAGTCTCTTTATTCAATATACTAAGCTAAAAAGCATAGTGGCATTAGCCACTTATTCAGAATTTACCCCAGGGTATCTGTAAGACTTCTTCAAATCAGCACAGAAATGTTCCAAAGCCATTTTTCTAAGGAATCCCACAACATGCAAGACAGCGTAATATATGGTAAATACACATACACAAACACACAGTTCCGGAAATCATACGTCTACTGGGAGAACGATTAGCAACTCTAAGGTTTAAAAAAATGCTTTAGTACCATTTTCACTTGAGTTGCTAAAGCAAGGTGGAACCTACTCCTAGAGTAGATGATAGGAGTCAGCTGAAAAATCTAAACCCAAAGTCTGCTTATTCCCAACTCAGACCAAAGCAGATCTAACACTCCTCTAGATCCATAGGAAAGCCAATTTTTAACCTAGTAACCCTTACTATTAGAGGCACAGAAAAAGTGACAAGCTATTTATCTGCCACACCTCCTGGGGCATGCTGAAGAGCTGCAGAACACCTGAAAACTAAGCTTAATATTTCCCTCAGTAAGGGAGATACACACAGAGACAAAATACCATCCAGACTTAGAGAACTATTCTGTCAGGGTAATTCCAGCATTTCCTTAGCTGCTGCTGAACTAGTACAGCAAAGCAGATAAATCAGGGTGAAAAGGTTTCTCTGCAAGAGAAACGATAACCCTGTTCTCGCTTTTACTTTCCGAAAATAAGCTTTTTAAGTGAAAAGGCTGCCCGTTAACAAAACTGGTTTAGATCACATGGAAATTATGGACTTTATGGCTTATTTAAGTCAGGGCAGCTAAAGAACTGCACTCTCTGAGTCCACTTTAAAAATCCAAGTGGCTGGTAAAAACACGGCTCAACTGATGCTATTCATCAACCACTGTTTAAAACCCAGCACTTCATGCACAGTAACACACAAGTATTCCATGAAAACTGACCAAAGAAGCTTCTTCACCTTGAGTACAGCTGGTCGAAACTGAATCATCTGATCTGTTCAAGATGGTCACGTAAATTTATAATTAAGATGCAGTTTAAAAGAACAACACCACATACAAATGCTAGCATAGTACAGTGAGAGGTATCTTAATTCTTTCTAATCATAGCTGAGTTACAAGCTTCGATGAGAGTTAATTCAACCCATATATGATAAATTTAATATAAAGCAAATCATGGCACATCATACAAAAACTCTTCTTAAAAGAACAATATATTATTATACCTGTATTTTAGAGTTTTTACAGGAAAATCCAAGACATTTGCTTCTTCATATCGCAGATGCACACTTTCACTGTCCCCTGTCTGAAGCATTCTCTCTGCTTCCTGTAAATCCCAAGTACAAGGTTTATAAAATTAATCATGCAGCAGAAAGCAAATGTTCCATAAAAGTTATACAAGCTCCATTAAGGGTCAACTAGCAGTTGATTTTACTGCTCTGCATACAAACACAACAGAACGTCCCTGATGTGGGAAACAGCTTTATCATTAATCTGAACAAGGTCAGGATCTCTGTTCCACTTCGCCGCTTTTCTCTCCCACCCACACCTGCCTTCTAAACTAATGAGAGACTCAAAAAATTGTGTGAAAAGACTGTTTCTGACTTCCCACTTTGCTTGCTAATTTTAATCACAAATAAGAATCATCATTCATAACAGTATCATTGAAACAGTGTCTTTTCCTCCCCTTAATTGCCTGTAATGGTTACTCTTGCATTAAATCTCATCAGTAAAGAATGCCAATATGTTTATTATATTTGGGTATAAAGTCATACACTTGTGGCACTTAAAATTCTTTAAATTTCATGCTATTGAGTATTTTCCAGTAATTTACAACATGGTTAGTTTGTGAGGGTTTTTTTTTTTTTTGCTTTTAAACACTTACTTCTTTTTCCTTTTTCTTTTTGTCATCTTCTTTCTTCTTTTTACTTTCTGGCATAAGATCATCAAGCCAGCTAAGCTCTCTTTTGGTGAAACATAAATCCATGAGCTTGCGAATGAACACTAATGCTAACACCTTAAGGGAACCATAAATGGAATCATTTATGTTAAATTACTTAAATGAATAAATATGCATATACACTTTGACACAGTATCTTTAACTAAGGACCTTTTTTGTAGTATTAGTTTTATCTTACTACACAGTTAAATCATTTCCACTTTCTATAGCTATTCACAATCAAACTGCTTATTGTCAAGAAACAAAAAGCCTTTGTCTTTCAAAAGTGAAAAGCTTATAGTAGAAGTTCTCGTTTCCTTCCCGCTCCCTTTCTTAAGGCAGCAAATATGTTCTGAAGAGATCCCAGATGATGCACGCGCTCTTTGAAAACGCTTAGCTTGTAGGACAGAAAACTTACCATCATAGGGAAAACAACAGCAGCTGCAGAGGCTTTAATCACCCACAACAAAACTAGACAAGTGAGCTGAATAACTGTAAAGATATGGACCTTCCAGAGCGGCACATAACGTAGATATATCAGGTCAGGCTGATGTTTGGCAGGCATTCCAAACAGCTTTATTCGGTCAAAAAACTGCATTGAAAAATAAAATCACCCTTCAATTAATGACCTCCTCCTCTTGAAAGCAAGAAAAACATTTCCAGGAGACATCAGAAGCAGACAGTAATCAGGACTGAAGGACATTGAAAACGTGCATGTGGGGCAGGGGGGAAGCAGCGTTGAGTGGCTGTTATTTTTAATATCATTTCTTCAGTATTTGAGAACACTTCAGAAATTTGCTGCTCAACTAAACTACTGAAAGAATAAACATAAATGAACTAAGAACAGAAGGCACAATGTGGTAAGAACAAATATCTGAACATGACACTCAGGAAATCGTTTTGACAGAACGGGCTAGCTTTCATGTTCATGCAACAAAAGAACGTGTTAAAAGCTTCCTTTTCATTTAGTGTTAAGCAAGAGCAAACTGTTCATTAAAAACAGATTTTACCTGAATGCCTTTTAATGAAGATACTCCCATGTAAAGAAAGACACCATACAAAACTGGCATTGGAATAAACTGGGGAGGAAAAAAACCCACACAATTATTTCTAGAATCAATATGGTATATAATATGGCAGTTCACAATAGTAAAGGAAATGAATCAAAATATTTTTGCTGTATATTTACTTTAACTGGTAACTGTAAAAACTGAGGCCCTTTATTTATCTGGAGAATAAATAAATGCAGCACTGAAGAGCAAAAAAGTAGGGAGCTGGGGAAGGACCTACATCCCTCCCCATGACCTATCAAGGCTATCATCATGATTAAAATGTAGTTCAGTCTTGACTGTCAATCCACTATATTTTCTAGATTGCAACCAGAATTTCTATTAGGGCTAAATATGCTGGCTTATGTGGCTGTCACCTAGGAACTGGACTGAGACTGTCAACTTCATGAAATTGCCATATGCAGATTATCTTCGATCAGTAAATCTGGCATTTCTGAACCAAATGAAACAAAAAGAAAGCACACCTACTGAGCTGTGAAATTCTGCCAATTATTCAAGGCTGAATTTTGTTCCAATAAGACTATCGATTTAAAGCTTACTAAGATAATGAAGTAGTCCACTGATTTCAGTGACAACTGCATCAAGCCTTTGCAAGTGAAGTGGACTTTGCTCCTGAATTCAAGAAAGTTCTACATGAATAAAGGACAGAGAAGATATCATTGGAAACCTTACGAAAAACTGCTGTAATCAAGCCTGAACAAAGGCCTTTACTGAAACTTAACTATCCTGGAATAAAATTATGCCTTAGAGATTCGCGCATGTGCGTGAATCTGTATGTGTATGTACACATACACACATATTTTTATATGTATAATATATAAATTACATATTATATAAAATATATGTATATAAAAGCTAGTGTCTTCACCATGAGCTATATAATTTGACATTCCAGTGTTTCATTAGCATCAGCTTCTTGCATTAGATCAGCATATATCCATACATGGAATGAAACCAGAGCACCCTACAGATGCAAGGTTTTCTTTGTCTGCCTTCCTTCTTCTGAACAATGACAGCTATTGACATTGAAAAAGGAAAATATTCTATAAAGATAGAATATCCAATAATACCACTTCTGCTGGTTCCCTAAGAAATGAAAGTATTAACTTCCAGGAATCAACTGTTAAAAGGGTGAAAGAAACATCAGACTTCGGCTATCTGCACCTTTACTTTACCCTTCACTTTCGAGCAACAATAACTCTATTTCAGTTTTCCTGGTTTTGATTCTGATTGTTTGCATCATACTGCTTAGCTCTTGGTAGCTTCTCTTACAGAGATCATCCAAATTTAACTTCTATTGACTTACTGTTTTCAGACCTTTACATTCTTTAACACATATAAGTGGCCAACTATTAAGAATTCATAATATGTATAATATGTAATTACTAATCTAAAGCTAGTTTTTCATAGATCTATTGCTTCCCATTGCCTAAACTTTAACATCCATTAGAAGTTACCTTTTTGTAAAAGGACCTGTCTTTAAAGCCCTATTACAAAATTATTTAAAGGTATTAGTAATTATGCATTCTAAGCCATATTTGCTCTTTTGACAACGAAGAAAGTTTTTTTCCCACTTCTCCTTTTAACTATACGGAGTTTACATAGCAAAGCAGAAGTGAAATTGATTTTACTCAAATCAAAAAAAAAAGTCAAACTAAAAGTCAACTAAAATGGTGGATTTTTTTCCAGTAAAATCCTCAGAAGGGCATTACAGATACACATTTACAAAGTATAAACAGAGGCCCTAATTTGACTTGCGGAATCTCTATTACATGTAATACTGCATAAGATAAGCCTAACACTTTAAGCCTCAAAGTGAGTTTACAGAGCTAGTAGATAAAAGAATTATAAGTGAATGATGTCATTTCCAATGCTCACTTTAACTGGAAGTTTTTGTTTCTTCTGCTGTTTTACATTACTTAAATAACTTCATAGCTTTACTACATTGCTGTTCTCCCTCCTTTTATGCACTCACACTAAAACTATCAGGACTATTTCTGGTAACATACACTTGGGAAACTAAAAAAAATCACTAACAAGAAAAATCAAGTAACATAGATAAAGATTGCTTTTTTTTTTTTTTTAAACTATTCACTACATATCTAGCTTATTCACATTTAATTTCACTTCTGTCTTCCTACATCATTTCTATTCAGTTACCATCTGTTGATAAAAAGGCAATCTGAGAATGAGTCTACACATTTTACTTAACATATTAGAGCTTGCTAACATTATGAAATACTAAAACATAATATCAAAATAAAAAGCACCAAGCAAGCATAAATATCTTTGCAAAAGTTCTCTTACCTTTAACACAGAGGTCATGAACACCGACAGCCCCATCAGGACGAAAATCATCAATCCCGTCACTCGCTGCTCACGGATTCCCAAAAACTTTGGTTGCTCTCCTGGGGCAGAGCATTCAGACTCTACTTTCAGGCTGTTAACATGACTTATAGACAGGACAGTTGCAGCAACAAACCACGGTAAGCCCATGATAGAACATATGCCCAACATAACACCAACCATGAGCAGATCAAGATGATAACCACAGCCTTTCTGCAAAATTAAGCAAAGAAATGACTCGCTTCATGAAATTTTACATTATGAAATACATATGGCTTAGTAGGTAAAATAATACACGACTACAAAAGCTGGAGATTTTGAGAGCGTCCACAAAACGACTCTTGCTCTTTATTAGTAAATCAGGGTACCTGTTTAGTGGCTGTTGGTAATGTTTCCCAGACTTACAGAATGATTCTAATTTAAAATGAGATTGACTTATACACTCAAAATTAGTTTGGAGCTTTTCATAAAACGGACAGACTTTTACCTTCAGCTTATGCTCTTTTCTGTTTATAATAACAGCTGTTATTTGTTGATCCATGAAAATGAGAATGGTACAGAGTAAAGCAGGAACAGCAGCTATCAAGAGTGTCCACCAAGGATTGCCTCCAAGAGGATCTATGAACCATCCTCTGTCTTTTCGAGTAGGCTGAAAAACAAACATCAAACCTAAGAATTAATTCACTAAAAGGTAGATTTTATTGCTACAAATGCTAGCTGCAGTGAACAGATCAACTCAGCTCTGTTTACCAAAACTTTTCCTTTGAGAGTCCCTTAATTATATGCTTACATTTTTTTTTAAATGGCTTTGACCAAAAGACCGATCAGCTGTTTGATATGATTGTCATGTTTATATGGAAAAGATTAAAACAGTCCATTCCATTCCTTGATTTTGCATACCTCCACAACAGAATACATCATTTTGAGTCATATTAGAATATAAAGTATAGTCTCATTCTGTCAGATGAGGTGTGCACCCAAAATAAAAAAGGGAGATTACTTCAATAATTACATTATAAGTTAAAAAGATATATTTTTGTTTCTATGCTACTCCACTATTCCATTGTCTATGAAATTGTAAGCATTTAAAAATAACGATTTTTAGGGGTTTTTTGGTTTTTTTTTAAGACTTAATTTCTTACTTCAAATTTCTCTGGAACATGAAGCTTAGGAGAAGGTACTCCTACAAGATAGTCAATCAAAACCATGATTACTATGGTCAGAAACACTGCAAAGTCACTGATGGTAGAACGTACCTATAAAGAAAAGATATTTGTTAACACTTACTTTTCAACATTATAATTCACTTTCTCCATAATAAATATTATTTAAAGTCTATTTATATTATACACCAGATCACTGAACATTATGTGTTTTCTCACTTTATTTTTAAATGTAAACTGCCTGTCACCATAGTTTAGAGTTACAAAAGGTGAGTATTTTCAAGTACTGCTCATCTAACCAATAATCTCAAAAGTGTTTTGCTACAAGAAACAAATTACTTCAAATAACTCCTGCGTCTTCATCTATTCGGTCTTCTTAGCTCTACTGGGAGGCTGGGCCGTCACAGCTGGTCTCTTGCAGCTTAATTCAATGCTACCATTGAATTGTTTGAAATCAATAGTCATTCATTTGATGCTTAATTGATTTGAAGGGTATACTGTGCAATAGATTCAGTTTTGGAAGGTGACTTTAAGAAATATTAAGAATGTGTTGAGGTTCAGAGGTGATCCTCCACTTTATTTTGCCAAGTAGAAATATGTAGTGCAAATCAATCCTAGTATAATCATTATATGAGCCCCTACTAGGAAAAATAACTCCTGAGGAATCTCTCAGAACCCTCCAGACATCATGGGGAAAGCAATCAGCGTTCTGTACTAACAGGTGAGGAAAACTGAGAATACAGTCACTCCAGACAATACTTGGCAATACCCCCATACAAAATGATATATATGCTTAGGGCTTTCAATATTTAAAACATCTCACTAGAACTGTAGGAAAGAAGATAGCAAGCACTGAATTTTCAGAAGCCAACTGCATTACTCTAACATCTTATTTTGCACATTGTTCACTTTTAATTTCTTTTCATGTCTTAAAAGAAATGTGGTCGAATTCATACTCGTAATACAAAGTTTTGAGGGATAATAAAAAAAAAATTCAACTCCATTATGTTACACTAATGTACACAAAAAAGTTTATCTCAAAAGAACAATCATCTCTAGTCAGAATTACCTTAGTTGGGAAATAGCGTTTGGTCTTGAATTGCTTAAGGAAAGAGGAGAGGAAAAACGTTGTAAAGAACAATATAACAGACCAGAAGAGGACATCTGGAATATACGGTCCATGATGACCACAAGCTGATCCACGAAACACACCATGAAATTCTAAACATTCCTGCAAGGAGAAAAAAAACTCATTAAATTTCTTGTCTTTAAAACAGATTCATTCAACCTAACTTGTAACCTTTCAGTATAACACACACCTAAAAACTATTTTATAAAAAATTAAGAAGTGCCAAAGATTTGTGTGCTGTCTGTTTCACAAGAGTGACATTAGCCACCACTGATACTTCATGACCCCAAGATGTTTGGAGGTGCTCCAACAGGGAATAACATTTTTATATTCACCTCATTTCTATCCTGTTTCTCAAAGCATAACAACACTGAACGTTGTAAATAAAGGCCAAGGACTAAGTCCAGGAAAACCAGACCACCCAACATTGACTCTCAAGGTGATGAAGATAAAAATGAGCTCTCTCTAGTTTCTCGCACCTCTTTACTCTTGGGTTTGCTTTGTCCTGATACAGATGAAGGAAAAGCAGATACTTACAAGGTAAGATTAAGCCAACAGAACAGTAAGAAAACAATTGCTAGTGAAGTAGAAGAACAAGTAGCAAATCTGAAGGAGGAAAAAAAGCAAACACACACACACAGATGATCCCTACTCAAAAAGCTCAATGAAGGGCAAAGCAAAGAATTAAAGTAGACACATAGGAAGAATACAAGGAAAGAAAAAGCCAATAAGTCAAACAGTTGGAAATTGCATATCTGCAGCCTGGGTCTTTAAACAGACTAATTTATCAAAAATAAGATATGAAAAAAATTATCCCATTAAACAATCAACTTTGATTCTAAGCACCACCAAATCTTGGACCACCTCCATCTCTCTAGGAAGAGAATAAAAAGTTATATGGAAGTTATTTTCAAGTGGGAAAACCAACTTCATGAGAAACTGCCCTCCTAGGTGACTGTGGTGGACTAGGAAACATTGGTAGAACACAGTAAACACTAAAGCTAAAAACCAAAGAGAAAATTGAAGTTTTTCATAGTTATTTTTGCTGTGCAGAATACTTCCTGCTTTCCATGACTACAGAGACCTAGAGGCTCAGACACAAGAAGAGTCCATACACAGATATTTCATTGTCATTTTAAATATCCTGAGATATCAAAAATATCCACATGAAGCTGGCAGACGCAACATCAAATCTGTAGTAGATCCAAACCCTTCAGGATGCAGGTGGAGGCCAGATGGGACGTGCTAGGGCAATCAAAGACCTGTAAGCGTCTTTGCTTAGGCAACTGAACCCCACCCAAGGAATAACCAATGAGCAAAAATATCTTTCTTCCTAAAGGTGTTACTTCCATGCGATAATGTTCTTCCTTTCTACTTATCCACAAAATCAGTTTTGCTGTAAAATTTCCAGTACAGAAGGCAACATTTTAAGCTCTGTTCCTCTGAGTAACTCTCCCACTTTTCTTTGATTCTTCAGTTTTCCATCCTATTATTTTCCTCCAATCAATTTTTACAGGCAGTTTCTCTCATTCTCTTGCAATTTTATAATATTATCTAACATGAAACATGTCTGCTACCACATTGTTAACTTCAGCTTCCATCTTTACATCTTAAAAATATTTTACCCTTCCTTTTCAGCAAATTGAAGGAAGTAATCCCCTGTTTATTCAACTCAATACATTCCTCTGCCCTTCAGAATGGGCAGATGAATGTTTTGCCTGCCAGGATTAAAGAGGTTATCTCAGACAGCTATTTATGATATCAGTGTTTACCGACAAGGATTCACTCATCAAACGTACACTGACTGCAACTCAGCTTAAAGCATTGTGGGAGAAAAAGAAGCGTTCAAAATACAGTTTCAAAGCAATCAGCTGATGTTCAAATTGAGAAAGAACTTAATAAACAAAAAAAAAAAGAAAAAAGACATACACATTAAGACTGGTATTGTGTGTTTTTTTGGTTTGTTTGTTTGGGGTTTTTTTAAAGCTTTGAGATACTTACAGAAACTGTAAGGTTACTCCACGCTATACTTTCCACAGACTTATTTAAATTCCCCCACATTAGTAAAGTTTCGTTGCTAGGATTCTGAGGCTTAGAACAAACGCACCTGAAAAAAAGAAAAAAGGAAATTCAGAACTTCACAAGGAGATGCCCATTCTTCAGTAAGTTCTCTTTTAAGCATATAAATGAAGAATGTGCTGCTTTGAAGTAATTTTTAAGAACTTTAACTCAACATTTTATGAAAGAAACAGAGTAAACAGCCCCTCCTTACATGAAAGGAAACAGGGTTTCAGGGAAAAAGAAAAAAAAAAAATAAATCAAAGAAAGAAATTAGAAAGATTTGCTGAACACAATCTGGGATAACAGTGGATTTCTAGAAAAAGAAAAAAGGGACTTAATTTAAGGTATATACCAAATTTTTTATTTAAAAGCATAGTATCATTAAATTGGAAAGGAGAAGCAAGCAAGGAAGAAAATCACAGTAACTTCAAGTAGCGTATCTGAAACATGAGAAGGAAACTCCTCTCTTCTCTCTTTGTTCTTTAACTGACTTGATGTAGTCAGTTTCGGTTTCTCTATTCAGTTAGCTTTGAGTGCCATCAAAATAATCTACAGAAACATTAACAGAAAGCAGAAAATCTCCTCCTATAAAAAGTTTTAGAAGCTATTTTTACTTAGAATATTATATTCTGCTCCAGCAGAAAACAATTTAAACTGAGAGAAGAAAAAAGCTCTAGATACAGATGGTCAAAAAGAATCTAGGTGTGCAAAGCACAATGCTTAGGGGATGTTTTAAAAAAAAAAAAAGTAAGTTTTAAAAGTGTATGTTCTCTCTTGATAATTCAATCCTCAAATAACAGCAAAAAGACTTAGGAGAAGATTAGAAAGCAGTTATTCCTCTTACGCACAGGGGGAATGAAAAGCAATATTCTGTATAAGCTAGCTGCAAACAAAGAATAACTTCAGAATCCTCAGATGAGAAAGGGTTTACAATAATAGGCGTGATAAGAGGAAAAGAAAGCATTTCCAGTCGCTGGATCAAGGCAGTAACAAGAACAAGCGTGCTGAAAGAGAGCTGACAGGCAAATCTCTAAACAAATACAATAAGGATTAAGAATATCAGCAAGTAGGTAAGTGGAAATCCAAGAAAAGAAAGAAAAACAGGAAATGGAATTGGATTTGAGACTGTCTTCTGATTCCTTTAGCTGAAGATGTTTGTTCTCCACTCCCTTTCCCAAAATAGGGATGGGTAAACACAACAAACAGGAATAATTTTAAAAGGTCAGATTTTCTACCGCTTCCTGATAGAAAAAACACAGAGCAAAACAATAGCAAAGCTCACGGCACATCCAGAAAGACAAGTGCAACTCCTCAAAAGGTGAGCCAACAGGAGCTTGAAAAGCTGTCACATCCTCCCTTCTCCACCCACACGGGTCTGCATGCGCTAGGGTAGCGCAACACAATTGATAGCGCAGGAGACTGAGGAGAGACCTACACACGCACTGGACAGTTGCTGCCAGATGATTTTAACTCACTCGTGGAGGAGCCACTGAGTCCTACAGGCAACAAAACTGAAGGATGAACAGCCAAGAGAAAGGAGAAAAGGGGAAACTGGGAAGTGTTAATAAGAGCACGCTCCCGTTGCTCACTCTCAGTAAAGTGGCCTGGACAGTTGCTAATATAGGAAAGAGAGTGTAAAAATGCCACATGTGAATGGAATACAAAAAGCAGTCTGACAGGGCATTTACCTCAAACTGATCATGTTGAAGAGGAAGATGACAACCATTAGCTAGCTTACACATTAACAAGGGAACAACATTGAAATTTTTGGGAAAAAAAGAAGGAATCACTTTGAAAAGAAGTATGAACAAAGCACAGAAGTTTGGAACGGTCAGGAGAGACCCTGCAGCGGCAACAGCAGTAGGCAAAACCTGGCTTGACATTGTCAGAAGTCACTCTGCTGGCACCATGACCTCTGTCTCAGCCAGAGCACCCCGAGTAGCCTGTCCTCTAGCTACAGACTGACAGTGCAGGGTGCAACAAGCAGCGACCCCCCCCCCCCACACATCCCTCATGTGTGAATGGGACCTCATGGGGGAGCCTCCTCACCAGCATGTGACTTAGCAGATTGTAGAGAGCAGCACAGGTACACATAAAGCTGGGGCACCCACATCTCCAGCAGGAAAGGAGAGCGAGTAGAAGAAATCGTACCCCTCAAAGATGGCGTGTGCTTTTAATCCACACGTCCAGGGTGGGGAGTACGTATGGGTTTGACTATACGTGTGATTAGAACTTTGGGGGATTAGTTATGAAAAGGTATTTACAATTTTTTAAATGCTCACTAACACTTCATAAGTGTCTAGCATTGTGGTTTATCTATCGGATTACTGATCCTGAATGTATAGGTCACTGATTGACAGTTCATTATGTTTTGTTAATAAATCAACAGATGGCTTTGATCCTGATTTAGTTTAAATTATGTGAACTGAGCAGTTTTTCCCTGCAACAGATCTTCCTTAGCAAGATCTTGCTTGTTATAGTCCTTAAATGAAATAAAGTTATTTTAATACTGATAACTTTACAGCTCATTACAGATTAGTAGAACCATTAGTTCTACTAAGGCAGGACAGATGGGGAAAAAGTGTCTACTGCATGTACTATTGTTCTCCTCTCTCTTACAAAAAAAATACATTTAAAGAGTCAAATCATTTCCCACTACTTACAGTAGAAAACAATGCTGTTTAAAGATGTTAATTCCCTCTTCCTAGCCTGTAAAAGTTGCAAAAGCTCTCATTACTCAAATCTCTCTCACTCCAGGCCATGCCCCAGCAACCTGGGAATAATTCCCAGGCAGGCAGGAGAAGCCAGCCTAATTTCCAGGAATGGCAAGACAGGATTCCTGTCCAGCTAATGGAACAGCCTAGCTTTTAATCAAGGTTTAATCAGATAGAACAGGCAGTTGTCACAGCCCCTCATCCCTTCCAACCATCCGAAGCTATCACAGAAAATTCGACTCCATTGCATCCTGAATAGAATCTTTCTGAGGTTTCTCACGTCCATACTTACCCCCAGGCTTCCTCCGACCCTCCTGGAAAGAGGCACACATTGCAGTTTGATAAATGGTATGTGGCTATAATACAAAAAGTTTCCTTACATATTTACTAATAGATAGAAACTTGATACTTACGAATATAAAGTCAGTTTATCCAAATCATTGTGCATATTGAAGGCATACACTTCTCCCAAATGAAAAAGCTTTTCCAACGCCTCATAAATAAATATGATGCATATAAGTGCTGCAAAAGCTTCTTCAGTAAAGCGAGTGATGTAACACACAAGGCTGCTGGCATCTGTTGCTACAAGTACTATGCATAAAAATGCAGTCCACAGACCAATGCTAGTTCGCAGGGAGAGGTAGGAAAGCTCATAGTCTCTGTGTAAAAAAAGAAACAAATGTTTAACTGAGCCTAAAATCATCTATATCATATCCTACTTGGAAACGGATACTGAGGCCAAGACCTGTAAGTAATTCATCACTTTTCCATCCTGGAGGCAGTTTTGAGGGAAGCAGAAACTTTTTTATCTCATGTTCCACCAAAGGCAGACAACCTTGCCAGGTATTTCTAGAATTCAAGGTGCAGTTACCTAGTTTGGGAGGTACCATGGGGACGTTCTTTCCAGAACTACCTAGATGAGTGTCCCTGGAGGGTAAACCAACCCCTGCAGAATTAAAGCCAACACCCACACATAGTCAGAACACCGTTTTGAGTTAGATCCTGGCCACTTCTTAACCACTAATTTTCTCATGAAGGCCCACCCGTGTCTCAAGCTATGGCTAAAACACACGCATACACAATTTACTGCCATTCTCTTTGCATCTTCATTGACTTCCACTTTTAATAGATGACTGCTTTAACAGGTATTTGAATAAGCTGAAAATTTAGAAAGTGCATCAAGCTAACACAAATATCACTTACCTGCAAAATTTAAATAATATTTTTTCAAATACTAGAACTGGTCCGGTGCTCCCCAAAATAGTAAGAGGTTGCCCAGCAAAGAGAGAATAGGCAATCCCAGTTAACGAGGCTCCAAAGAGAGACTCTATTGCACTCTGTTTGGGGGAAAAGAAACAGCTGTAACTATGCTGCCTTTCAGGTTAGCATTTAACACCACATCTGCATAAATACAGTTTTAAGATGTATTAACTTAGAAACAAGACAAGATGTAAAAATATTAAAACCCATATTGCTATTTGAGACATAAGAATAATCTAACCTAGTTTTGCAGTAACAATACCATGGATTGAAGCTTTCCAAATCTTTTCTCATGAGAAATGTAAAGAGATCCAAAACTTTGAGAACAAGTTATTAGTTCTACTAGCTATGGAGGAAAAACTTAACAACAATTATTAAGATAAAAAGTCTACTCAATATGTGGTTTAAGGAAACAGAAAAGAATTATCTGTCTCTGCAAAGAAAAAAATATATACATATATTGCAACACACCTGTACCAAAACATGATCCAGTGTGCTGTACCAAACCTGCATCAGTTAACCAAGTATTACAAAAGAAAAAAAAAAAAAAAAAAAAAAAAGGGGGGGGGGGGGGGGGGGAGTGGGAGAGGAAGGATGCAAATTACTGAACATTATCTGTTTATATTATAAATGACACCATAAATAGATGAAGAGTAAACCAACGTCCCACCTGGTAATGCATTTCTTTTCATTGAAGTAAGATACTATTTCAGTTCCTGAATAACATGTTTTACTAGAATATTCTCCATTAAAAAGAAAAGTTACAATGCACCTCAGAAAAGAGAGATAGGGCTTTCTAGAACCTAAAATGATGTTAAATCCACTTTAATAGTTAACACCACTTAAAATTGTGAGAAGTCATGAATTATAGATTAAAGGGTTCTCAATGAAATTTTTGAAAATGTTTGCTATTTTGCAATTATGCAAGCCCGGGAAAACAAAAATTGCTCAAGGTTAAATCTCAGTTCAGGAAAGCATCAAAAATGGGGGAAAATGCTTTACTGAGCTGGGGTCACTAAAAATAAAAACACGAGTCCTTTGTTCATTATAGTAGGGGGGGAAAAAAAAAAACAATCCAGTCTCTTGTTCAGCTATTACCTTTAAACTAGCGTTTTTGCTTAGTCAATGCATTAACCTTGGGGCTCTTGATCAAGAGTGCAGGGACAGGGAGTGCTGTGGAGGTGATGACCTCTAGGAATACAAGGAAAAGGTCTGAACACACACTGTGTACCTTACAAAGTCAGCTACTGTGCTTGAACATGTGTGTGCAGTAACTAATTTTTATATTCAAATGATGCACACCAAGTATCTGAAGGCAGGAACAAACCTGCAAACAATCCCAGATAGCTAAAAGAAAGAAGGTATTTAGGAAGTAAGCTTTAAAAAGGAGCATATTTTCATAGTCATACATAGGTATATTCAAAAATTACATCAACATTTTGATAAACACAGGAAAATCTATTCTTAAAATTGAGCAGCAAAAAGAGTGCACAAAAAGACACAATGTATTTCTGCATTTGCTATCAACTTGAAGTGTTACATCAGTAAATAAATATCAAAGTCAACGGCGTTATTTGCGAGAGATACAACTGTTAACTATATTCTAACACATTACAAACTCAAAATTTGATCCGAGAAGTATTGTGAAGAATTTTATAGCATCATTACAAGCTTCATCAGAACCTTGAAATTCGTAAAGGAAGTTTCTGAATATATCCTTCCCCTCCCACAGAAGACCGAGACTTATTTTTTGCAAAAGATTTAAAAAACAGAAAATACACTTCCAATGAGTTCAGTCACAAGCCAGCTGACACAAACACTTAGTAAAATTGCCAATGCAAGTATTTTTTTTTCACTATTCCAAAATACACAAAGCATAATCAAATACTTCAGTTAAAAAAGCGTATGGTGTTATATACTCTCCAACATTAATTCTACCGTTTTACAAGTTTACTCATTTATATTCAGGTCGTTAACAACAAAGAGTATTTTCTGTTCATAAACCTTAACCATCTTTTTACTGATTAAAAAAAATACTATTAGTGTAAGCATATATATATTTTGTCCATTACTTAAACATACAACATAGTTCCTCTAACCATACACTGTAGGCTTTATCATCCTCACAGGCCTACTACTCAAGGCCAGTACATATTCTTGGCTATCCACCTTGAGCCTCTGACTTTGCCTAAAGTAGGCCTAGTGGGATGGTGCACCTTCACTGCTATTCATTATTTTTATTTAAGGAGCCAAAAAGAAGGCAATGAAAGTCCTTTCTCAGTTCATGAAGCTATTCATCCAGTAAGGCAGGATAAACATTTCTTTTTTAATTTATTTATTTATTTTTACCTCCACTGTGCATCTTCTCCTGTTCACATGAGTTCCCCACATTTTCCACAGCAATTACCTTTTGGGGGAAGGTCTGCTTTTGGGCAGGCTAAATCAAGTGCTGTGGGTAAATTCTTCAAAGACAAGTGTAAATAAATGAGACAAATGCACACAGTGACTTGCCTCTGAAGCTCTAAAAGCCTGGCCACTACCATTCTTTGTACTCACTATTCTGCCTTGTGTAGCTTCTCCCAGGAGCCCTCCAAAAGTGATTACAGGAGACATACAGGCACAGTATAGGAAAAGAATCGAGGCCAGGCACTGCAGGCTTAATGCATCCTTGAAGTCACTCAAGAAAAAAGGTGCTTTCCTTTTGATGTCAAGTATCAAACCACCAAAAAGCCTAAATAGGTGAGATGAAACTCGTCAAACTGTACACTAAAGGATTCTAGCTAGTTCAAAACTATGGACTACACAAGACTGCCAGTGCCTATTGCCAGCACAAATTAGCTATTTCATACTCCAAATTAAAGCATAACACAGTTTAAAATGTAAATGAATGTTATCAATTCCAATTCAGTAGTTTTCTAAAAATATAATCAAGCAGGTCATTACCCATATTTTTAAAAGCTGGCTAGGTATTTTTGCATATAATGGGCTAGATAATGAATAAAACATCTTTGCAAATGATTTCATCCAAATATATATACACAAGACAAATTTGGCTAATGATTTTCAGAACAAGGAATATGCATGCAAGCAATATGCTAAGGCTCAACCAAGATGACTGCATTAATACTTTTCAATATCTAAACTCCAGTAAGTAGTTTTAGCTTTGGTTTTAATCCAAATTCTCTACACACATATGGTTAGGTCCATAAATAAATTTTGGTCTATTACCTTTAACAGTGGAAAAGTTCTGGATATTGAGAAATTTTACAAAGCGAAGGAAAACAAACATATATAAGTCAATTTAACTGGGTACGTCATTAGCAAGAAATTAAAAGATTTTTGGTAGCTTCTAAAAATTTTCAAACTCATATCCAAAAATATTAGGTAAAACTTGTACCTACAAATCATGTACCTTGTTGTGAATTATAAAGGACTAATCAAAAAAGAAAATTATTCCATTCCTATCAAAAACAGTACTGTGATCTACTAGAGATAGTTCTATGGGTAAAAAATAAATTTACTCCCACATACTGCATGAAATAAACCAAAAAATGAGCATAATAAAGCCGAAATGGTAAAAATCAATGCAAATGTGTTCTCCTTACAAAGAAATGAGAAAGATGCATTTTATTTGGAAATTTATCATCCTGGGGATAACAACTTTGTTCATCTTTTCCAGAATTTCTCAGCTGATTTAATCTCTACTCTCTCATATCTGATGAGATATTAAGCTTTAGTCTTATCCAGATGTGTTTCTAATGTCATGGATTTTTTTGGACAAGGATTTCAGAATTGCCGGAGAACTGCAACTGAAATAAATTTCACCAATTGTATTTCAGGTCTAAAAGAAATCTGACCAAAACAGTATTTTTTCCCCAACTTAATATTCCTTGTTGTTCCATTTTGTACCTGTTTAATAAAATGGATTTGCATTAATGGAAATTTTCAGTACCTAGCCCAGTACTGAAAATTGTATATTCCTGCTACAATTACGACAATTGCATGCTCTCAAGAATTAACATTTAAAAAACAACTCTTAAAAGTCAGTTAGTTAAATAAGGCAGCATCACATATGAAATCCTTCACAAATGTGTTGAGAAATATTGCCACAGGTTTGAAAATGCTTTAAGCAGACTGGCAGTAATAGGCAAGAACCCAACACTTGAAAAGGAGAAAGGATGCGCCCTGACACTTACACCATGAATTTTTATGCTAAAACGTCATCATTAAAAATTGTGAAGATTTATCACTTATTTCTCTGTGGTAGCTAGTATTCAGGGAAGTGAACACACCTTCCAGTTCTCTCAAGCTCAGGTCCAGCATGATGGCCTTCTTCTTTGAGAGTCTCTCCTGTAGGAGTAGATCCATTTGGAAACTTGGGTACCTTCCTTTTCTCCTACAGCCAAAAAAAAAAAAAAAAAAAAAAAGGCATACTTTAAGACTGCTCTTACACTAAAAAAAGTGCAATTCAAACATTGTATGTAGACATCTCCATGCCTTTCAAACCTTTTTCATATTTGCAGCTTATCAGCAGTCCTCCATTTGCCAAATTCATATTTTGTTGAATACAGATGACTAGAACTGTACAAGGCACTAATGAGATCTTTTGTGGAGTGTTGTACAATGGTATTAATATCCCTTCTTTCCACAGGAAGTATCTCCCATGAGACATGCTGAAACCAAGCGTGCTTTTTCAAGACCGCACAGCAGTCATGAGTCCAAGATTTTTTTCCCCCCCTCAAAAACAGAAGCCTCTCATTTGTAACAAACATTGACCTCACTCTATAACAAATACAATACGTATTAGATGTGTAAATGAGAAGCCATTCCTCTTTAAGCAAGCTCACGAGCTCCTCATAAAATTCCCAGCCATGCTTACATTCCTGAAAAGCCTTAGCCGTGCTTATTTTGGAAATAAATCAGAGTGGTAGCTTCATGCTATTTATGAAATAAACTGCACTGCTGTCATCCCATTTGTATTCCACCTGTTCCCCCAAATCATCACATAATTCAACCCCAACATGAACGAGCCTTCAGAATCAAGAGTACTTCTATCTCTCTCACACACATTTGATCCTTGCTGCAGGAATTCCCCTCAGTAGTAAGGGGGGAGAGAAGAAAGAAGTCAGAGCCCCTCCAAGGAACCCAACCTCCCTATGGCTCTCATTCTAAGCCTTGCATCTCAACTGAGTAACATGATCCATTTTCATCTATTTCATAAACTTGCTGTAAACATTATTTGCTAGCCAATATACAGCATCAAAGCTATTTTCAGCTAATGCTTTATGAAAATAAAAGCTTTTGTAAGAAGTACAAGGTTCTTCTGATCATTTTTAGATTAATAATAAAATTCACGCTGCGGACCCATCTACAATTTCAGACCAACTCTCTTAGATCGCAAACTCACTTCCGAATTACAGAAGTAAATACAATTTACTTAAAAACATAACAGGATACTGACCCAACACATTGGAGCTTTTATTCCCTTAAATGAATGACCCACTTTTGCTTCCAAAGGATGCTTTTTGGCTTTTCAGATACTTTACTGAAGTTCATACTCAATGTACAATTTAAATTTTTAACTTGCAGTTGGAAATAATGCTTTCAAAATAAAAATCACTGGAGCTAGCTACTGGATTCCCCCTCCCCCCCCTCCCACTTTTTTTTTTAATACCTGGGAAGGAACACTTTTGGGTGGCTCAATTCGTATAGATGGATCCCATTCTCCTGGAGGCAGGACTGTCACTTGGTCCAAAAACTCATCAATTCCTGATAATAAATCATTTCGGTCTTTAGCTTTGTAAGCAACATCATGGAAAACCTATGAGGAAAAAGTACCCAACATTCAATTATTTATTTTTAAAAGAGAAATGGATCACGAGGAACACTTAATTAAAAAAAAAAAAGAGGTGGGAAAATATTTTAAAGGCCATCAATAATCAGGCTTTTACTTTACTTGCATACTTTTGCATTAAGAACTATCTGTATGCACACCCTTATAGAACATAAAATAAGGATTCTATGTCTTAAAACTCAAAAGGAATATTGAATTTATTTCTAAAATTCATAAAGTTCATCTTCAGTATTCAGTAAATCAAAGTAATGTACTATTGCCAAGATAATTCTCCACTAAAGTCACAATGCCACTGTACTGTGCTAAATCAGGAAAAAAAAATTAAGATCTTAAAAATAAAACATAAATTGTTAGTAAGAACTTCATTTTTATATCACATAATCTCCAATTTAATTCATTCTAGAAAAGTTAAGAAACATACGAAAGCAATCATTTCCTCCTACTACTAAGGAAAAAAAGAAAAAAAAAAAATCACACTATATTAAAACTACACTCAGTTTCAAAGATCACAACCGCACAAACTTTGAATTGATGGCTTAAAACAAAATAAGCAGTAATTAAGCAAGATAACCCCTGAATTCCACAGATGCGCTTTTATACAGGAAAACATTGTTAGTTTTTGTATTAAAAATTGTCGCAGAAGATTATTCTAAATTGCTCCTACACATGCTGGAACCTGAACTGTTCGTCTTCAAAGATCTGATCATTAAGTCTAATAATTGTATATCAGACCTTTTATGTCTATTTAGGTCTTTTTAGATCAGTGAGTAATTTAAATTTTCCATTTCAATGATCTACAGCATTGCTAAAAAGTAGTCTACCTAAAAAAATGAGAAGCTGCAACTAAAATTCAAGATAAGATTCAGTTCTCATTCAGATATCATGCACTAACTAAGCAATTATGAAATGCCCAATTTCTGGTTTAAAATTCCAGAGTTAAAATTGCTCTAACATAAAGGAATACCAAAGTTTCTGCTGGTTTACCCTACTGATTATCAGCAATTCAGTAGGTGGCGCTCAATCCGAAGTTAAAATTGGGATAACATCCTAATCTTGCTCAGTAGGATGAGAAATCGTTTTAGTAAGTCCCGATTCCCCTGTGCTCTTTAAAACTGTCCACCAGAGCGCTAAACCTAATAAATACTTAGTCAATGCCTAATAAAATTCTAATTCTGATCATCTGATCCAGCTTTTCTAAAAGCATCTGTGATGACTCAATTGCACGTATTCTTAAATTTTTTGCCCTGAATAGTTATGCAGTTTGCTGTGTGCATTCATATCAGATGTAGTGCTGTTTAACAGCAGAAAAATGAAATCCATAAACGACAGCTAAAATATCTTTTCTGAAATATATTTAGGATTTTTACAAGAAAGGCAAGGGAAAAAAAATTCATTTACTGTTATCCAGTTCACTGAATTGGGAAAAAAAAAAATGAGTTTTTGCTGTCCTTCATTTAACCATTTTGGTTCCTTTTCTTTAACCTGTCATTCCAGGATACATTTAAAAGCAGCCAGTAATACATTAGACTTCTTTTACTACATGTGTTTGAAATACATCACTCACATCATCTGTCATAAGCGTTGCTATTGATCTTCCAATTTCATGGTACTGTGGTGCTTTGCCTGCTGGTCCCAGCAACAAAAACAAAAATCTATGGAGGAAACAATTGAGACAAATCAATAGGGTGGGCTGATTCGAATATACCTAGAGGATTCTTTCAAGCTAATGTTTCAAGAAAATTTAGTTGTGAAGTAAAAACGTTTTCTTCATGGTTTCAGATCTTAGACTGCTGCAAGACAAGACTTGCCTCAAAGTCATTACTGAAACTTTAATACTGAACCAAAGTTACTCCTAAAACTTAATTAAGCCTAATTTTTCAAGAACTTATAATGCTGTAACTGGAACAGAAATTCACAGGCCAAGGGCCCAATGAACATTTCCTCTGGATTTCAGCCTTTCTGCCACTCCGATTGACAAAGGTTTTTAGGAGCTGTATGACCTGTTCTCTAGCCTCTTTGCTGATGACCTCTTCATGGCAGTTACACCCCTCTCACTTGCTATGTCCAGATATGTCACGTAATGGATGCAAAGATGCATTTGAGGCAACACACTGGCCATATCCATATCGGCATATCCTGGTCCTGTGTCAGTGGAAAGGAAGGGAACCTGCGTTTTGGACACCTAACAAGGTAACAATGATACAGTACAAGACATTTTGCTCTTCTGACTTGAAAGAGAATCCAACCAAGGGATGGGTCACAGCACATGGTCCCAGGTAGTCTCCATTTCCAACAACAATCATCATTTTCACAAGTCATTTTTTTTCTTTTTAAATAAAAAGAGGATCAGTATCTTATAAACAAAACGATACAAAGCACAGTGAACCGCAGTAATTCTTTTTATAACCTTCCTGCACTCTACGAATATGAAATTCCTAAGTTCAACATATTTGAAAAAAGTAGCACTTTTTTCACTTCACAGTATAAAAATCTCAACATTATTCTTTCTTTGCAGGTTGACTACTCAAACTAAAATTGAGATTGCATCTTCAAAATCAAGTCTGCTATTTCAAACTTGGGAGTTTTCAGTATTCTGAAAAAATAGGATAGCATAATTTTAGCTACAAAAATTTGTTTACCCAAAGCTATGAACTTCCTGTGAAACATTATGAGCACAAACATCAACTACTCCATGAAATTTCTCACATCCCTTTAAAAGAACACTGCCAAGATTTTTTCCTTCTTCTCATTAGAGTACATATGCTGAAAATCATGAAGATAAACAAACACTATGATCATTTTAAAATGTAAAAATAGAGTATTTACAAATAGCTGCCAAACACCACAGAACAGTCCAATGCATCAACACGCATAGAAAATGCGGAGTTCTCCACTAGGATCGAGATATGCGCAAGTCCTGCCACATGAAGAAATGACCTGGCATTCTCACTGTGGGGCCTATGTTTTGGTCATAAATGTATACAGTCACACACGGTCACAAGACTCATGAGAAAGTATGGCAGGAGGCAAGCTGGCAAATTCAGAACAAATAATTCAGAACAAACTCAACCTACCAGCTGCAGATTAGTTACCACAGTGTCAATCATGTAAATTTGGCTACATAATCCAAAAAGTAAATTTTTTCACCATCTAGATTATTCATCTAGGCATAGGTTTTTACACAAAGAAGAGAGTTTCAGACTAGACAGACCTGCACGCTCAGTAGACTCTTCCCCACTGCCATATTGTGCTGCAGCTAAGGGAACTATAACACTCCTAATGCCCATCTTTAAAATGGCAACACACTTTGAAGACTCATTGCTTTTTCTCCAGTCATCCATCAGTTTCAGTTTTCATGCTTGCTTAAGACAGCATTATTACTTCTCTTTAAAGCATTCAAAGAATTTTAGCGCAGATCTCATTATTGCAAATTTTGCAGCAAGTGACTAGCAACATGTTGGACAAAAGTTTACATTTCCTGACTCTGAGTTTACAATCTAAATTTTGAAATACATTATTGATATATTACTTTATTTTATGAGTAAAACCCAGCTTTCTGGGCATTTCTTTACCGTGTAGGAACTGGAACCTCCGTGAGACCTGAGAGAAGCACAGCAGGGGAGAGCCTCACAAATGCAATAATAGGTCTTTCTAAAAAATCTACTTCTCCCACTAACACATTTGATGCTTCCGCTCCTGATGGAATTTTCCTCATGAAGTTCATATCAACCTATTCATATAAAGATGAAACAAGTGTTTATTGCCTTACAGTTGTTAGCAGAAATTCTGTAGCATAACTTTAAATATATGAGTATTTACTAAACATTTATTCCATTAAGAAAAATATAAAAGCAAATGAAACATCCCACAACACATAAAAAGACAAACATACGTATAAAACGTCAGCCAGCCATCTATTAAACTATTTTCTAGAAGTTAGCATTACTACTATCTATTATATTCTAAAAGACTCTGAAGTGCATAACCATCTTTCTAAAATTACTTATCATGACAAACATTCCATGATAGGACATAATTTAATAAGCCTATGCACAATTAACTAAGGAGAGTTCATGTAATTACACATGTTTTCTAGAACATAGCTAGTTACTTCATAGCTTCATATTTCATCTGTGTTAGAAAAGTCATAATTTTGCAAAAGAATTTGTATGTTTTTCACTCATTAAAAAAAGTAACTGAAAATCTAAACTTTTGTTTCTGTATATAATTACAGAAGAGCAATAGAAAACAGTACAGCACATGAACTCTTTGTTCACATATGCACACACACACTGAACACTAGTTACACTGCTATCTAGAGAACTTACAGATGGCCTCTTGAGTCCCATACCAAGTGTGCCACAACTACAGTGCCAGGAGGCTGACTCCTGCCCAATAGGAGACAAGGCAGGTGTACAGAAGGACAGGCCAAGCAAAAACATAAAAACTGTGACAGAGGAGCAGGAGTAAATGGCACCTGCGATGATCAGATGAGAACTACTGTGCAAGGTACTTTTGCTTAAGTGTAATTATTTAACTTGGCAAACCAGTCTTATTACAATCTTTCACAGTATCGATGACACTACAGAACTGAGTTTTATAGTAACAGCCAGGTTGGAACTTGCCCAGCAAATTTAAATCATAAAAAGAAGTGGAAGGAATTTACAGCGATACACAAGATTTGCTTCAGAAAGTGATAATATACACTCCTAATGATTGAGATGTATGCTAACTTTTGTGTAACAAACTCTTAAGTGCAAGACAAGTCCTCTTTAAAAGCCTTATTTAAAAAAAAAAAGCAAGTCCTACAAGAAAACCTTACAATACTATCTATAAAATTGTTATCATAAGATTTTTTATAGCAGATCTGGAAATATCTCTCTACTAGAAAGTACAGTGACTGCACTCATTAAGTTACCAAAATACTGAAAAGATCACCTAATGAAATAGAAAGATCAGTCCCACTGAGAAGACTATCAAAACACATGACAAATCTAACTTATGCCATGTTCTGACACTTGCACATTATAAGTCGTACTTAACTAAGATGGCAAGAACCACCACAACTTTTTTTTGTTACATAGTCACGCTGTACTAAATCCTAAGGTATTTAGTGCCATTTACCTTACTAAAATCAACGGTGCTGTTTTCTCTGCTTCCTCCTGTTCCAGTACCTTTAACATCTGCACATTTCCCAGTGTCTAAATTTCCAGGTGCTGACTGTGGAGAGGCTAACAGTCCTAAATTAAAACAAAGGACACAAGTTCAAAATGACATTTAGAGTGAACTGAGGTACGCAACACTACTAAAACTCAATGTGGCAGCTTGCTTAAAGCAAATGTGCAAGTTATTCAATAAAAGTGCCCTACATTAGTATCGTAAATGCAACATTAACAAATCACTATGTTTTAAAAATTGTGACATAATGAAAAAAGTAAAATTAAATGTTGCCTAAATGATGGCCATTTGCAGAACAAGTCACCAGGAAAAAAGAGCGACTTTAAGGGGTGGGAGGTAGAGGAAAGAGAAAAAAACGTGTTAATAGTCTAATCTTAACCATCCAGTACTCAGTGGACAGCATCTTCACTACCTTTAAAAGTCCTCAAATACCCAAAGCAAACACCTCTGTTACCTATTTGCTGTGTAGCAGGTGTTCCAATTGTAAAAGTCTAGGTAAGACTCAGGCTATGACTACTACAGATAATACCCTGGCTGGTAGCTACATCTATACAAGTAGTGACTACAGGAAAGTTATAATTTAAATAAACCGACACCGACTGAAGCTCCAACTACAGATCTGACCAGACAATAAATACTCTATGAAAGGGTCTCTCAAATACATAAGCTAAGAAGGCAGTTCCAGTGAAGTTACCGAGTTAAATGGACAGCTTCCCTCTAATATCTGCATTTAGACGTAACAGTTTTATGTAGCTTCCCAAGCTACTAACAACACTGAATGGCAGGTTCACCAAAAAGTAAACCAACCAAAAAGTAAACCAACCAAAAAGTAAACCAACCAAAAAGTAAACCAACCAAAAAGTAAACCAACCAAAAAGTAAACCAACCAAAAAGTAAACCAACCAAAAAGTAAACCAACCAAAAAGTAGTAACTCAAGCAGCACAGGTGTTCACATACTGAATTCCATGTTGCCACAGTCATCCCTAACCAACTAGCATTTAAAAGCTGGTCTGGGCACACATAACAAACTGAAATTCCATCTTTACTTTTTCAGTTTACTATGCTCTAGAAGTGTATTTTGCCTTGCTTGTCTATACTAGACCTTCCAGTTGTGGCAATAAACATGCTTTAACATGCTTCCAAAACCACATCTAGACTAAGCCTGAAGTCTGAACTTTGTATCATGTATAAAACAGTTGCTGTAAAAGGTCAACATCACTCTGATCAAATAAAAATCAAAAAGTCCTCACTACTTTTTGGCTACCTGCTGGAAACATACAGTGGCCTCCCCTCCATGTTTACTATTTAACAATCTGACATTTTTTAACATTTCAAATTACTACTGAATTCACTGTATTTGTTCCCTACATTTACTAAAAACAACAAAACCAAAAAAACCCCTCAAAGAACATTCAGCATTTTCATTCTTTTAGGTGACAGGAATACATATAGTATGGGTAGCTTTTCCTGAAGCAAAAATCAAATTAAGTTAATAAGCTATAATTTCCTTTGTGAAACCTAAATATGTACAAGTAATTACCTACTGCTATAAATAGTACTTTTATCAAGCTAAGTCAACCAAAAAAAAAAAAAACCATATTCAATCCTTCTGCCCTAAGAGGTATGCATCATTCACAAGAATAGCTAATTGAAATCAACCACCTGTCACACTAGCTGTTTGAGTATTTAACCGAATGAGACATTGCACTGATGTTACAACATGTTTGTAGAACTGGAGACAGAACAGAAACGTTACAAATTCATTGCAGAAGAGTGAGGGAGACATAAAAATACATGTATAGATAACCACAAGGTCATTTCATATTTTTCCCTGTGTAACAATAAAGGCAAGAAAAGGTTTATGATTGATAAAAGATAAGCGATAACACATGATTTTGTACTTTTTGTAAGTGCCCCATGAACAAGAGCAGAGGCTAGAACAGTAAAGAGAGAATCAAGAAGGAAGACAGAGAGCACCTTATATTTTCAGCAAAATGTGGAATACAAACATTATTACCTCTAGCGAAACACTCCTCCTCAAATCTCAGACTAATAATAGAACTCACTTCCAACTCTTCTCCATTTTGGCAAATACTAATTCAGAAGCTAGTGCTAAAAGACTACCTAGTAATTCTTCCAGACTGAAATAAAAATTCATCAAGTCTCACTAAGGTACTGAGAAAATCATTAAGAGTGCATACTACTCTTAGTTTTATGCACGTGCATCACCCGTTTGAAAGAAAATTATGGAATGAGTCTTGAGCAAGTGTTCCTATAGTGCTTCCATGACCTCTTTTATGCTTGAAACTCTGAAGCAGTCTTAAAATCTCATAAGATAACCCAAGATAAAGTACCTTCCAATGACACCTTCACTGAAGGTCAAACGTTTTCTAGTCACCTTGACTTAATTTAATACTATGTTCACAAAAATCTAATAGAAAAGGTCCACTAGAAAAAGAAAGCAAGAAGAACACAGACATTTGACTCCCCTTATCTCTGCTTCAACAAACAAGAAAATTTAAGAGGACTTCAACACCTAAGCGTGACTGACCCAGTATAATTATGTGCATATATACAAAATTTACAAAAAAGGAAACTTGTAAAGGAAAATCATAAAACATTCATGTTTGAGGAAATAAAAAAATGATTTTTTTTAAATAAATTCCTATGAAGCCTTATGTGAAAAAAATATTTGAATGGGTTATTCCTAGAAGGCAAACATGTAAACATTTTTGCATTGCTATTTTCAGTAAGTAGATTATTGTAAGAACAAAATTGTTCCAAGTATTATATTACTTTCATTGAGTTTTAAAATACATTCATCGATGAACAACAAAGACCCCTTAAAACATTTATCTGCTACTTTGACTGCTGTTATTCGCAGACATTAAAAAGCTTAATGATGCTAGTGAACTAACGATCTTCAACTTTAGCTGTAAGACAGCTCTCCTCCCAGCTCTACCTATGGAAATCATTATTCAGCGGTTCCAAAAACAAACAAAAGCTGTTCTTGAACTGATGATAAAAGAAATAAAAATTATTGAAGAGAACGCTTCACCTGGGGTGACTTATTATAAAACTTATGACTGGATGATAAAAATCAAGTGGTTATTTGAAAATGTGTCCCTTCCCTCTTTCACATGAAGTCCAGTAACCTTCCAGCTACTTACAAAGAAGGGGAAAAAAATCTACGTAGCACAAGGCCAAGGATAGAAGAATGTCAAATAGAAGTCATTTATTAAGTTCCTAATGCTCACAGGATGCAAATCCAACAAAATCATTAAGGTGTGGAAAAGATATTCATGGCGCAAAATTCTGAATTACTAGAGTGGAAGTACAGACCGTTATCTTTAATGAGATGGACCTAGACAAATTTTCTTTTGACAAGAACACCACTTCATGTGGTTTCCCTTCTGGGTCTGTCTCTTAAGGTAGGCATCAGTCCAGTCACAGCCCAAAAGTCACAGTCTGAGAATGTCTTCAAAGACACTTCAAAATAAATACTTGTTTTTTTGTGGTCATATGATTTCTTGTATTAAAAGGAGAAAAACCAAATCAAAACACAACCAAAAAAAAAGACCAAAACACAACAAACACCAAAAACAATAAAAAATAAAAACACACCCTCCCCCCCCCCCCCCAAAAACAAAAATCCTCTTCCTCCTCCCCCAACAAAAATGCCTGCCTTCTTTTACTGGTCTTCATCTTTCTCTGGAAAGACCTTTATGGATGAACTGGGAAATCATCCTTTTCAGATTTTCCTATTATGAGAAACATTCCCTCAAGGCACAAAAGCAAACTGAAAGCAACTTGGAGATGGCAGTGAAAAGCTCTAAGAGTGATAATAGCAAGATCTAGTATTTTATCTTCGTTTGTTTGCCTTCTCTTAGGTTCTAAAGACCTTGGGTCTGGCATGTTGTCATTCCTGTCCGACGAGTAGAAAAAAGGTAACTGCAAGACTAATCACTTCTGTTACTTTGTTTTTTAAATATCATTGAAGAATCACCCATGAGAATGATCTGTATGTGAATTCTCTTAATTTCCCACAAGGAAGTGAAAGAAAGATGTTTTTGTTTGCTTTTTTAAATTTAAGAAACGAAGGGACCCCCTACTCCAACTCAACATGATAGCCTACGAAGAGTGCCGTGTAGCGACTTGCCTGCAAGATGCGAAAAGGCAGAAAACCAGTCTTTTCTCTGTCAGCTTGCTTTCACTGTTGCACATGACTGTGCGTTTTTCACCCTGAATCTGACTCTAGCTTGAAGATATGACAGATATGTTGAAAGGGCTGAAAATCAGGGAGCAAAACCGAGGAGGAAAAAAAAGGAAAGAGAAGCTTTTCACACACCCAGACATTTTGCAGTAGTTCTGGTGGAACTAAGCTTCCACGATTTTTAAAGCTTATGCTGTCTTACTAAATAAGTGAGGAAGGAAGCCAAGAAAAGCCTCACTGATGATTTGAGTGAAGTCTGCTCACTTTTTTTTTTTTTTTTTTTAATATACAAAAGCAGAAAAACATGCAAGATAGATTTTTGATAAGATACATTTCCGCAAGAGAAAAACATCCAGGAGCAGTCCATTGGAGGCTAAAAAGAAAGGTGATCTCTTTCAAAAGATGATTTATCGAGGAGAATCCGGAAGTCTTTAGGTAGGTGGTAATTTCGCAAAAGCAGAGCAAGTATAACAGTATGCATAATGCATGAGTTATGAAACATTTAATAAAAATGATTAAAGAAACTGTCACAACTTCTCATCCTTTTTCTTTCCATGTATCTATCTTTTTACATGGAAGGAACAATAGCCTTGCATGATAGCAGTAAATTAATAAGTTATTGACCTCTGATCTACAATTATAAACTCTTACTTACCTTACACTTCTTAGCTTATCAAACACAACAAAACAGTGATGAAGCCTCTGGGGCAGAAAGCCACCTGGAATCAGTTACAGATATACTGAATCTGCCATTTTCATCATAAACCACTACTGCTTTTAATAGCCCTGGTTTGTAATAGCACAAAAGTGAAAATAAAACTGCCCAAAGACATCGTAATACAACTAAACTACCAACAACACAAATTACTGCAGCCTTCCTCATTCTTTTCTTATTCCTCTCTAAGATTTCACTGTGTCTTTGTCTGCAGATATCTCAGGATAACAAACAGGTTTAAAATATTACTGTATCCACTGATGACAAAAAGAAAAAAAAGCAAAACCTGACACGGATTGAGGGTAAGTGAAAGGAAAAGGCCACCATTTTTGACATTTTGATTATATATGACTTATTAAAAAAATCCTTTTCAATTACACATATTAAGGTTAATTAAAGAATATTTTGGCTGGCTTCAGTTAAAAAGCTAAAAAAGTTAAGAATGCCGAACAAGAAAACAGTCACAATTGAGAAGAAATAAAACATGCAGGCAGAAGTAACAGTTATCATATTCAGTTGTGCCCAAGCTATGTGCTAGTAACAACGCAATGCAAGTGATCCAGATGCAGAGAGCATCACGCATGGACAGCTTAATTTTGATAGTTGCCTGGTGCTTTGTCAATATTATCCTCTGTCTTCTTTTCCTGCACTTCTAAGTCCTCCTCAGGTGGGTGGATTATTACTGAAGGAATATCGTCACTGGCAGGTGATACCAGCAATTCCTTGCCCTGGAGTGGGCTTGGCTGAGCACTTGTGGTTGTCAGGTGGCTGAAGGTAGGACTGGAGGGTGGTGTGTTTTGAGGGGTAGTTACAGGGGTTGTACACCTTGAGGTTGCCGGGGTTCCAGCTCTTGAAGAAGGAAGAAGGTAATTGAGAAGAACAGACAAACGGTTTTCTCCTCTCAGGGAAACATTTGAGGCAGAGAGACCTGTTCGCAAAGAGTGGCGGGAGGCTGAAAGGCCTTCCCCTGAGACAAAACAAATGAAACACCATGAGGCTTACAATGGGGAAATACTAAAAATCAGAGAGACAAATCACGCATTAACAATTTACATAGTAAATTGCAAGCTTTAAGGGCCGAAAAGTTTCATACTCATGCAAGTAAGATAAGAGCAAATCTGATTTTAGACATTAGAGAAGTCAGAAACACTGATAAGTACTGAACAGAATGCCAAAAAGATGTGGGAGAAGATAATATGACCTCAAAGTCAGCAAGGTTTTTAGCACAAGAAAAAAAAAGAATCTCTTTAAACTAACTTAGATTTTCCCAGGCAAATGATCTCTCAGTCCAAATAACTCAGCAGCTACCTTTAATACCATCCCAAAATTTAAAAAAAAAAAAAGACATGTAAAAACATTACATGACCTTTGTTACCTACATCAATTAAATGCAAAGAATTCTGTTAATTTTTCAAATGGAAGTATTTTCAAAATGAACATGATCAAACATATGTAATCATGTTAAACCCATCTCCCAACAAAAACCCTGTCTTAATTATAAGTTTTCTAGCCAGCTGCACACTTAAAAATACAGTTTTTGAAGAGAGCAAAAGGTACACTATATAGTACCTTCTCCATCTCTATTTGCTGTGGCTTACCAAATATTCCCATCACCTTAAAAATCAAACATGTTTCCCAAAAAGCCACTGTTCCTTTTCTTGTCCTATCCAGTCTTAATGCCCCACTACTTCATATCAAAGAGAACACAGGCTTGCCATCCTTCCCTCAGAGATTGGTTTGTAACAGATACCAGGTCTTCCTTAAGCAGGAAGAAAGGCTGTCTATCTTCATGTCAGTATTTCCATTAGACAGCTCAGTGATATCATTCCTCCTGTTTAAAAAAAACCACTCTTCCTAGTATGGCAGTCTCTTCGCAAAGAATAGTGATAGCTTCTCCTACAATCTTTGAAATGAAAAACATGCTGCTTTCACATAACATCATCAAGCAAGGCAACAGCAAACTAGACACATTTAGTCTCACGTTTGTACTAGGCACTATACAGAGACCAATACTTTGAACAGCTATAGAATTACTTATGGGAAGGAGAGCCAGAAAGTATGCCTTGGTAAATATCGTAACATTGGTTTTCCCGCCCACTTTAACAAGAGTGGGTCCTACACTCATAAATAAATATTAAAGCTTGTCTTTACTACACTCCAGTTTTAATAGCTAAGAGGACCAATAAAGCAAATTGTTTGATTTTTTCCTATACTAATCACTAAAGTAATATCTACGCCAGACTTCTGCCAGTTTGTCTGTGCTGAATCAAGAACATGAGAGGTACCCTAATCCTAATACACACAGCTGTAAAAGAAGCCTAACACATATTACACTGTATGTTTGTTTTACCAGTTGAGTAGAGGGTTACTACATTGGCATAAAGAAAAAGTTAACTAGCATATGCTGGCAGAAACTTCTTCATGTTATACTGGTTTAATACATCAGCATATATCCTATATCCTGTTGTCGGAATAGTATAAGAATAAAATACACTAGAAAGCAGATATAATATGTGAAAAAGTAACTGAAAAGCAAGGCACCTTAAATACACAATTCTCAGAACTACAGTTGAGGGATACACGTGTTCCAGGATGGGTAAAATCAAGTTCATATTTGAAATGCTGAAGTTTGTTAAACAAAACATGAAAGCCAGAAGTTGTAGAAGAAATACTCTTGCAAGAGCTAGTAATATTTTCATTCTAGAAAAAAATAATTCTGAAGCTATCGCTGAAATGTTTAAGTATGCATCATACATTTACTAAGGAACACTAACTATCAGTAAACTTGGACATTTGCTGGAAGAACTCCAAGTACGTATTAAACTCAGAGCACCTATGAACTTAACTAAGTAAAACACATGTAAGAAATGAGACATCCTTCAAGAATGAAAAGGAACTTAATTTCAAGGAGCGATTCATGTTATCAGTATTAAGTTTTCTCTAGACCGAAAAATTCCAATTCAAATTGTATCTGTCTTAGTTAACGCAAAGGGAAAGAAAACATGAAGAACAGAGATGGAAACAGAGGTCATAAGATATTCAAGAACAAAAGTATGCTGCTCTGGGAATATGCATTGCTACTGGACTTTGGAACTGTATGTCCAGATGAAATTTAGTGACCTTTCAGAATTTTTCAGAATTAGATTTAATAAAAGATGTAGTATGTGCTGGAAAAATGATGTAAATGCCTGTTATTTTCTCTCATTAGATCCTTCTATACAAAACAAGGCAAAAATAAATGTCCCAGCTAAAAATAATTTTTCCTCATTAAGCATAGCAAACTCTTTCTAGTCAACTAAACATAACACAATTAAAACATAGTAATTGTCAGCATCACTGAACTCATGACATCCGCATAAATAAATCACCAGTACAAAGTCTGAGTAAGCAAGCAGGATCCAGGTGACAAACATATAAACCTATGCCACAATGCTGGAATTCCTCAAACGCTCCACATTTCATTCAAGCATATCCCAAAAAGCATTAGAACCAAATGTGAGCTCAGTTCTACACTTCATAACAATAACACATGCTATGTACACAGGCAGGCATAGAGAGCTTGAGTAAATTCAAAAATATGCAGGAACATCCACGGTTACACACACACAAACACATTCATTCCTTGCTTATCAAGAAGGAAACACTTATCTGCTCTTATCAGTTGAATTTTCCTTCATCTCCCAGTGAGAACACTATTTAACACGTTAGAACAAATTGGATGCTACAACTTATCTCACCGTTTCGTTCAAGCAAGTGAGGGTCAGAATGTTTCTTGCCTATATCTGCAAAAGATCGAACCAGGGGAATCCGACTGCTGAATTTTTTCTCATTCTGGTGATGATGTCTTTTCAGAAGAGCCTCTCTTACATTCTCTCTTATGGATTCATCCAGCTGACCAGAGGCAATCATGTTGTCCAAAACCATATCTTCATAAATATAAAAAAAAAAAAAAAAACTGAAAACACATATATACCTTATCAAATCTCTCCCTCTTTAACAAAGTGAAAATCCAGAATCCACAGTAAATTTTCAAAGATGTCCTTGAACAAACAAATGGGTAAACAGGCAAAGCATAGTGTGTGAATCCTAAGAGATATTATTTTAGGAGCATCATTTCAAGAAATAGGTTGTTTAATATTTTGTAATTTATTTTGTCCTTTACTCCAAATTTTAACTGTAACTTTCTTTAAAAAAAAAAAAAAAAAAGCATCTATGTATTCAACAGACCTTCACAAGGGAACACATTAAGACTGTCTTGAGGAGATTGTTCTCCATTGTGAATTTGTCTTAATCTGGTGCTTCCCATTTTGAAAGTATAAAACTACATTAAAAGGAAAGTTACTATATAATAAAATGTTTTTTTTTTTTTAAACTCTCCTCTGTCACCTTCAAAGGTCTTAAGTTTCGGAGACTACCCACCTAACTTGATGTGATTCATGTACTATAGAAGAGGAAGTAAAAAACCAGTTAGTTCTATCTGCTAAAACAACAGAGATTTCTTCGGGGATTATTGATTTTACAACACATAGCCTATTGCTATGGCTTCTGAAAAGAAATCCTCCCAACTTTTTTTCCTTTTATTCCTGTGTGACTGTGAACCAAGAATATCTATTACGTATTCCTGGCTCAGGGGAACAAGACATCATATTTGTACCCTCATACTATAATCAAGTGTTGTTATCCTACAAGCTCTCATAATGGCAAGCAGAATTAACTTCAGACAAATACATGCAATCTCTCAACACATTCTAGTTCCACTTAAAATATCTCCTGTTTAAAAAAAAAAAAAAAAAAACACTCTGATGCTTACAAAGAATTAAACAGTAATTATTTTTTATCTACTAAGATCATTGCTAAACTCAGTTATCAAAAAATCAAAACATTACAAAGCATACTACTACTACTACTCCTCAGTAAATCAGGAAAAGAGGAAGAGAATACCAAATTCTTGAGTGGATTTCAAAGTTCTCAAAGAAATTTTTTTTTTTTTGTTTCAAGTAGTGCCAATGTTTTTACGCTAAAACACTTTGTCCTTCACATACATGTTGGTCAGCCCTAAGCCTTAGCATGATTCCTGACACAGCATTCCACTGTGTGGTACCTGTAGCAAGAGATATCAGGAAAATTATGTAAAGCTAGTCCACACAGGCATCCAGGCTAAAAAGGTATATATGTGAAAAAGTTTTCAAACCTGATTTTAAAATACCCACAACGACCATGGCCAAGTGATTAGTGAGGACACTCAACATACTAGGTCAAACAATATTTACAAAGTTTATTTCTGCTCACCTCTTATAAAGGTGAAAAAAATACCAGATGTGCAACACTCAACTGCACTAATGGCATCAAGTTAACATCAGCCAAGTAATGATTAATAATTATGGTACTAAAGTGCACAAATAAGTCCTACAATGTTCTGGCAGATATTTACATTTCATCTGTAGAAACAAAGACAAAGAACACATTCAGGGATTAGAACATAAAGGCAAATCCTGGGCCTCATCCTAAAATATGCAATAAAGGAGGTCCTACTCATCCAAGTGCAGCTCCTTGTAAGTGAAGTTTGCAAGATCAGCTCTTTAAAAATAGATGAAGAAAACTGCAGTAAACATGCACATACCTATTTCTTTAATGTAGTAGTTTCAAGAACATTAAAAAAAAAAAAATCAACGAAGACATTTAAAGTTTAGATCAAAATTTAGAAATAAAATATTTCAAAAAAAAAGTTTTGCTGCAACCTGCTATCTCATCTAGTGTGTTTGCTCTCATGTCCAACATGATCGTCCCATTAAGAATACAGCTTCGCAGTTCAAAGAGACTGTGCAGAGACAGAGTTGCTACATAAGGCTTGCTCCATCGATCACCACCATCTTCAACATCCTCTTCAAATTTTAGCCACCTGAAACGCATATGTATACATACACACACATATATTTATATTTCTCCTGAAAGAGAGACAATTTGGCAAACGATCCCATCCTTCCCTTTGACTTCTGTATGACACAGAAGAGCAAAACCCACCAGCTCATACCAGCTCTCATTTGCTCAAATAATCTAATTGATCTATGGTCACATCACCCTCATTAGGCCCTTTATCCATGCTTAATTGCCTTACTTTTCCCCTGTCTTGGTTTTTTTTTTTTTTGGTTTGAATAAGACCTGCCTATTCAAGAATCCTGATAAATGGTACAGGAACATGCCTTGTTACTTGATTTGTATGTCTCAGTTTCAACTGTATTTTTGGATCAGAAAGCTGTCTGAAACTCTTCATATACAATGTTTAGTTTTTTAGGGTGCAAAGTCAGATATTCAAAAGTTAGATAATGCTAATACGTGTAACTATAAATCTATCTTTATTCTGACTCATAGGTATCATGCAAGCTGAAATTCTGCAGAAGTTACATAACACTATAGGTACTAGATACAGAAGACTATTACAACACATATGTGGAGGGAAGCAACTAGACTTGCACTGGGCAAAAATAGCTGTGACATCATCTAATGTTCAGGCATGCAACTTTGCAAAAAATTAACCAACTACTACCTAAAAAGAACATAAGTAAATACCTAATTTTATTTAAATTTTTTCAAGAGAAAAAATTGACACTGATGTATCTGCAATAATAATTTCAGACAGTAAATACTGTGCTACATAGCGGAATGTCTGTATTCATACCCAAATATAATTGTACCTTACATTATGCTTGGCAAGATCAGCTTTAGGAAAATTCAACATAGCACCAACAGGAATTTAAGAGTCTCTAAGACACCATACTGGCTGTTCCAAAGTCGGACAAAAAGAATAAGTGTTTTAATTAGTTGAACTTGAATTCAGTAACTAACTCCTACAGTTCATGAAAATTCCAAGCTTGACCTGGCTTCTCTGAAATAAGATCACCGAAAGAAATACCTTGAGGTAATCTGCTTTTTGTTTACCTAGCAGTTTCTTTCCATTCATATTCTTCTCCATCCCTGAAGCAAAGTTCATCCATTTCAGTGAAGAGATCATGGGGAATATGTTCATCATCATCTTCAGTACCCAGGATAAACTGCACTCGTTGGGATGGCGTATCTTGAAGAAAAGGAGAAAAAGAACAATTTAAAGAAAACCCACACATCTATCACAGAAGACAATACATAACACTTAAACTTCCTGCTCTCATTTAGAGAAATGCAGCACAATATTCTACTAAAGAGAGGACAGGAACAAAACAAACATGGAAGTTTCTTGAAAAGGAGGCCTTTTAAAAATTTTACATTTTTTCCTGAAAAAAAACAAAAAAAAACTGGAAACGTATGTATGCATTCTGTAACACAATTACATACTTTAAGCTCTTCTATAGATTACCTTTATGAAAACAAACATCAACAGCAACATTTGTAAGAAAGTAAAAATTAATAGGCCAAAGGGCTAGAAACATCGTTTTCACTTGGGGGGGGGGGGGGCGGGGGGATATATCATAATTACACAAACATTAAGGGAGAGAAGAGGGACTCAGAAAAATAAATAGCTTAACTTTTAGACTGGTTGTGCCCTAATAAGAGAAATAGTTCACGCGCAAAACAGCTGACTTCATTGATGCTACTGTTGCTGCTACTATGCAGTTGCTACTGTTCTATACAGTGGGCGCCCAGGCACTCTCATTATTAAGACAGCACGTTTTTCAACAACCTGTTGCTGCTTACATATGGCGGAAAACAATTAACAGCTTTTCCTCTTTGCACGGTTGGAGCACTGAACATAAGTGTAAATTACCGTAAGAAAGCAGAAACTAAACACCTAAAAAGTTGAGGAAACATTTAACTTCTCATAGTATACTGCCTAATAAAACAGGCTAAGTAATAACTTTCTATAGCAAAATTTAACTACCTTTATCAATCAGCTATTACTGGTACACCTCACTGCTATGAGAGGAATTAAAAAAAGAGAGAGAGAGAAATACATGTATTTTAGCAATATGATTAAGTTATAATACCTATATCCAGGTCTTGCTTCAAGTAAAGGGAAAACTTCCAATGTATGGATTCTATAACCTATCACTCCACACATAACACAGTAAGAAAAAAAGAGAAAACAAATTGACAGTTTCCTCTCTTTTCTTTAAGTCAAAAATATTTGCCAATATGTATAGTAAGCCTTTCTCAAATGATATTTTAATATAAAAATAAATACACTTTAGAGCAAAGGTTAAATAGTTTTGTGCAAAAAGTCTATATCAAAATTGAAAGGTCAAATAGAGTGAGTAAATGACTGCATTATAGCTGACTACAGAGTCTTTTATTAAAAGAATCAGTTTACGCTGTACATGCCCCGCTACAGTGTTTTCAGTAAACTACTGAAACAGTAGTTCCCCCTTCCCCCTCCCCACCTCCTTTTAGGGACTACATACTATTTTACTATAAGCATGCTGTGAAGATAAAAAATTGATTTCCATGGGACTTTTCCAGAATGCTCTTCTCTGCAGTACCAGAACATTTCAGGCCTTTCATTGTTTCAGCATTCAAGAGAATATCTGCACAACCAACCCTTAATTAACCACAAGCAGCTTATTTAAATGCGGACTGCCCATGCTACAATAAAGGTACACCAGAGCTGGCTGTGCATGGAACCAGTCAACCCGCAGCAGTGTTATAAGCACAGGCACAGAACCACATGAATGGGGCAGTATTACTCTGGGAGCCAAACCAACTGTTGCAGCAATATCGCTTTTAGGAAGAACGAAGCTTGAACTACTAATCCCTGGGACTCCAACTACCATGTTTCCGGAATCAAGAGTATGATATAAACACCTTGCAGTAAGCACCACATGGAGTCAAGGAAAGGAAAACAGAGTTTGGACCCAGCCTGGTCTGCATCTTTTCAGTCAAGAGCTTAGTGGCCTAGGGGAAGAAAAAAAGAAATCCCAAACTAAAATTCATGAGACAGTACAATCCTTTAGTAACAAGACCACAAGACCATCAAAGTAGATATTTGAATAGAATATGGATCACGTTACCACAGCAAATCCTGATTCACAGCTATCATACTCTTGAAAGTCTTCAGTGACAAAAGGAAGAATACAAGATTAACTTCTTTTCAGACTGTGTATCTGCTATATAAGTAACACGCAGATTTTTATGCTCAAGGGGAATATTATGAACCTCTAGTCTAAGCTTCTACTTAATGCAGGCCATCAGACATTCATTCAGACACCTGGATGAAGCTCAGCAGACTATGATTGTATAAAGCACAACCACAAAATCCTGGACTGACTGTAGGTAGAAATACATAATTTTAGTAAGAATAAAACAAAGAGCACAATGTTCAAGCACGGAGTAACTATGACAGGCTTTAAAGTGACCCAGCCTACACATCAGATTTCTTACCATAAGATGGAGATTCTCGTCCATCCTCTCTGTCAGTTTCTTTTTCTTTTTTTCTTCTGTGATGCCTGTGCCCACGATGCCTGTGCCGTCGACGGCCCTGCTTTCCAAATGGGACGTGAACTCCAATATACACAGCTCTGTGGCCTTTCAAGAAAGGGCAAGAGGGAACAATTAAAGATAACAATCAAAAACTCTCTTATTGAAGAGATTTGGTGTTACAGTCTAAAAGAAATCCAAAAGTACTTGGCAAAACCATTTTTATTGGACTAATATTACCCTTTCCTTTCTATCTTTGACAAGTGTCAAGGAATTAGTGATATATTTAACTTCCACAACCAAGTGAACAGGAATAATCTCTGACCCATTTTAAGAATTCATTTATGAAACAAGAAATATAGAAACTTTCTCTTGATTCTTAACACTGGAAGAAACTACTTGATAAGCACCAAGGAACTTTTAGTAAAGCTGCAAAATTACGCTCCTTTCTTTTGCTGGGAGTCAGCATATCAGGACTGTGATAGGCAAAACGGGCAAAATGTGATCCCACAGTTCAGTTTATGAACTTCATTAAAAAACTACCCATAACTTAGAATCTGGAAATAATTATCTGTAGTTGAATGAACTGGCAATAATTCCCTGAATATCATGTGAAGCATCCAGGTGAACCTGACATTGAAAGGTACCATTAATTTAATACCAATTTAAGAGCCTAATAGGCAGTTGGAAACGTATGTGCAAAAGATCACGCAATTGACACAAACGTTATTTTTTCTATTCTAGAAACTTCTAATAAATTTAGATAGCAAATCCTCAAATTAAGATATACAGGTCTTTAAAAGAATAGGAAGAAAAAAAAGGAAAAGAAAAAATGTTTCAGAAGGATAAATGCATTGTATCTTATTTTTCCTTTGACCTTTCGCATTAAGACAATACAAGCAGCAAAAACTTGACAACAAAAATCAATGAACAGACAGTTCTGAGCATATTCCTAACATGCCTCCTGTAAAGGGAGTTAGCATATACAATAATCTTTTCAATTCCTTTTTAAACAAATAATCTCAGGAAGAGACGCATTAACTACAAGCCTGGAGGTTAACACTAAATACTTTGTTTCATACTATAAAAGAGTTATTACAGAAGACTGACATTAACAAAAGCAAAAGGAAGTGGTTTTCCAGCTCTTAGAGACGCAAATTCAGCAAATTTATAAAAGCCAAGCAAGCCCTAGGAGTTATGACTCTATATATACACACGTATGCAAGCATGTGCATATATTAGATTAAAGATATTGAAAAATTCTAACCATTACAGACCTCCACCACCTCCTTTAAAGAAATAAAAAGCAGTGGCATGTGTAACTTGTCTTCCCAAACAAAAATATCTCTGAGCTCAACTAACAAGAGACATAAAACGTTTATAAAATAATACTTTTACGGTGACACAGAGAGAAAAAGAATAAGGGAAAAAAAACAAACAGTAAAATACATTAGTGCAACTTTTAATTAATTTTACCAGGATTCTTTTTCAAATTACAAGGCCTGATCCTTGACAAACTTCCAACACTAGTTTTAGAGTTGACTGACTGGGACTATGCCCCATTCTGACATTAAGCCATATTACAAGTGATCTGTTTCCACGTAAGAGTGGAAAATATTAATTTCTCGAAGTATTCATCAGTCCTGTTTGTAGAGAGAGACTTTTCTTCTGAATTTCTTCCAAAATGAATACTCAGTCCCTGCTAAGAAGCCCAAGAACGCACCAATGACTGTTTCTCAAGTTAAGAAAGTGAACTTTTTTGGTATCAAATTGATATATGAACAAACAGATCTCTACTACTACCTACGACAGCCAGAACTACTACTGTTGGGTATACCACCAAGATTACACACAAACATGCTGTAGGTATACTCAACTCCAAAAGGCAGGATAAAGTTGCATAATAAGAGTTAGATAAGCTTAATCTTGATTCTAACTCCATACAGAAACGCACTAAAGGCCCTTTAAGAATAAAGATAGCTGAATTAAGTAGGTCTGCTGTGTTCCCTCAGCTTCATCACTCAGGCATAATTAAAGAAGAACAGATAAAGATTAGTTAATAGCATAATTTGCACGAAAACAGGATTTTTCTTCCTTCATTCCCAGTGAATCTGATGAAACTACTTACAGCTCTCTTCACTCCTGCCAAAAATCCAGGGAGACTAGCAATACAACAGGACTGGAGAAAAAGTTAACTCTGAAAAGGTTGGTATTCACATTACTTGCGCCAACGTTATCTTTAAAAGGAATGCCAACCTTTAACTTGAATATTGTTTTAAAAAGTTTAAAAAGGTACAATTATATGACCTTCAAACCTTCACTCACAAACGTCTGTACCACCCTACTGCTCTCAAGCAAAGCTTGTTACAGAATTACTTTAAACCAGTAATCAATAGAATTAGTAGACTGTCTGATACTAAATTTAGTAACACAGAACTCTACAGATAATTGTTCATTTTAATCTAACATGACTCTATCCAAGCTTAGCTGTACAAATCCACCAAGGGTATTTACTAGTTAAGGTCATTGCCAGTATGAAGCAAATTTAAATGTAAAAGTCTGCTACATGTCTCAATCACATGGTTGTTCTCATCTGCAAGTCAGTTGATATAAAAGAGAAGTCCTACAATCCTGACAAACAGAAGAGAAAATGCTTTGTTTAGGTTTCTGGATTTCTCCCCAAAGCCACTAAGAAAGTGGTAACAGAAGACTTCTCAACTCCTGGAGAGATCAAAAACATACATTCAAAAATACTCTGATGTGGAAAATCTGAAAGTACAATTTCCACACAGAGCTTTCTTTTTTCTAATAATTATTTTCTTAACTAGAAGCCTTGTAAACTTTATACAAGGAAGTACATGCTCCCCCATGCTAACAAAGGGAAAACGAGGAAAATCAAGTTAATAAGTATGTGAAAGAACGCTATACGTTTTCACATCCTGTTGCTTAGGGATCTGAACTGCAGAGATCACATTAATTACAGTTGTAAGCGACATCTGGAGGTCATCTGGTCTTCACTCAAAGCAAGACCAGCTTCAAAGTCAAAGTCATTTCTTTTGATCACGTTGCTCAGGATGATAGCCAATGAAGTTCTGAGTATCTCCAAGGACAGAAAGTCCACAACCTCTCTGGGCAGCCTATTTGACCAATGTTTGACCATAACCTCAGTGATAACTTTTCCCTAATATCTAATCATAATTTCCTATGTTGCATCTTGTGTCCATTTTCCCTCATCCTCTCACTGTGTACCTCCAACAACAGTCGGATGTCGTCTTCTCTATAAGCTTCCAATAGTCGGCTGAAGATAAAGCTCAAGACAAGAATTAATATGTTTCAGATATCTTCAGATGATAATCTGAAGATTTATTTTTACATGAAAGCCTTTTTTTTAAATAAATATTTAAAGGTTGTAATCCCTCTTCTCCCAAAAGGTAGCTTTTTACTATGCAAAACCAGGAGGATCTGCATGAGAGATCCTGATCTGTTCCATAAATCAGGCAAAAAAGCAGCTGTGAAAGAAACCTGCAGGCTGTTAGGCGTCTTCTAACTCGTATTTCTAAACACACTGCCCCTAAGTAAGAAGCATTTGAAATCCATCATCATCTCATTCTTCAAGGTTATTCCCAATACATCACAGAAAGTACCTGAATGTTCAAAAATACAAGGTCAAGCCTATTAATTAGCACAACTTCTAGTGTCTCTTTCATACATCCACTCAGAAGCTAGAAGCAACACAAACAGGAAAAACAATCTTAGCTAGACAGAAGCAGAGTGAGAGCAAGCAGATCCTGTCACATCCCAAAGTAGTTTAGAGTCCCAAGGTCCTCTCTAAAGCTCTACACTCTCTGCTGTAGAAGGTGAAAGCTAATAACAATTAGAATCCCTTCTCTTTTTTTTAAAATCAATTTATTCATATTAGTTACTTGTTTTATTAAGGCTAACAAGTAACAGAGAAGTCACTGAAAATAGTTATGCTAATTCTCCCATTTTCTAATTAAGTAATGCCACATTTCTGAACTACTCAATTAAATGTACAATTTAATGTTGACAGTAAAGTTCACATGAGATAAATATTTCAAAACAAACAATTTTATTTTAGCTTATTTTATGAACTTCTCCCCCACCAAAAGTACTCCAGAAACAGTCAAATCTATTTCCTATAGAATTAACATAATAAAAGTGAATACAAGTGTTTCACTGTACTTGCCCAAGTTACGCAGCATGGATGAAGTTACTTCCAAAAAAGCCCTATTATTAAAGTTTTTTTGTTACTTTTTTCTTAAATGTTTTATTAAAAACCAAACATCTAGGTAAAAAAAGAATGATTTGACATACAATGCTTGCTTGCTTTCAGAATAAAATAGTTGGAATCAAGTTTTCTAATGAAATCTGTATGAAGGAATAAAAAAAAATTATTTCACAGAACAGCTGCATGCCTTATCTGGAGCTTACAGCTTCTCCACAATGCAGCAGATTTCAGAATCTCTTCTGTGTTCTATCCTAGATTCTTCCTGTTACTCCCAGTAATTAAGTGCATCCAAGAATATGCACTTTTTGCACTACAATATTTGGACAGATAAGATTGAAACATGTAATCCAAAATCTTTATTTTATACACACAGCACACATTAAACAGTTCAGTAAGAGTGTTTTCTTACTGCACAACGAAAAGCAGCATCATATTATGCTGACTGGCAGAAGCAGTGAATACCAGAACTCTCACTAGAAACAAAAGTGGGTGTCTTCTGCAGACTCGGAACAAACTGTGAGTTGGTAGTGGCAGTCAGAAGAGAAAAATGCACTGAATATTCGTATGTGACACAATCAGCAACATTCAAGAAGGCATTATCAGTAATTACATTAGACATGCAGGTACTAACTGTAATAGAAAAAGCTTAGTGCCAGCTGACAGAGCTGCAGAGGGATTCTGGCACTGTTATGTCCCATCCAGGTCTTGGTGGCCCACTGCCAGCACCAATATCTCTTGCCTGGGAAAGGAGCCAGCACTTGGTATCTGTAAAAGATGGGGGGAATTAGCTGTCCTTGTAACATGCATCAAGACAGCCTCAGAGTGGGGCCCCACCATCTTTCTGAGCTGAAGGTTCTTC